TTTAACAGCAGCTGGAACACGCTCGGACTGAAAGAATGACCTGTTTGAGACTACACACGGTCATTATAGGGACGCCTGCGCAGACCGATTGCTGTCAATACCAGAAGACAATCCAGTCAGGCGAGCGATCTCTTCCGACCTGAAACATTTTAGCTGTATCCCATAGACACTGCGGCTTACCTGCACAGGGTTCGAGTGTTCAGGCCAGCCGAACAGGCTGCCTGAGCGTGTGGTAGTGCCCTTAAAAATATTCGAGGGGGTCAAATCGGATGACGGAGGGGGCACGAAATAGGGCCACCCCGGCCGATATATACACGTATTTTGGAATTCAGTGGCAGGTGACTGGAAATGGATGATCCCCCATTTACTGGAAGATGTAGCCATCAAACACCTGAAGCAGAGAGAGCAATTCTCCGGCATGTCGAGGCACACGGCACCCGTCCCGCTCCTCATGGAAGAGGAACTCTCCGATCGCTCCTGGCACCCGCTAATCCGACCCACGCTTTCCACTTCGGGCCGTTCCGTTCATGTCCGTTGAGATCATGAGGATTGTGAGGTCCCCAAGTACAACAGTTATGGCGGTTAACTTCACCGGAAACTGAAGCACGTCCCCTTCAAGCAATCACTGTCTCTGTAGTTCCTTGGGGTGGGGTGAGACTGAGTCCACTTGGTACGTCGGCCACTAACTGAGCTATTGTACCAGCCAAGGATGATGGATTATGATAAATGTGGAGCAGTCGGAGGAACAAGAATCGGCAGGGGAAACGGAGGTCTCGGAGAAAACCTGCCCCAGTGACACTTTGTCCACCACAAGTCCCACATAACTTGGAGTAGGCTCGAACACGAAGCAGGACGAAGAAATCGCAGTTGAGGGCTCGCGCGCCGAGTGGACGTCAGCAGGTTTGTAAATCTTCCGGAATGTCGCCCGCGGTCTAGTGCCTGCGCCGTGTCGCTTTGAACTGCCTTGCTACAGCAAATGGTGTCTGTCAAGCCCCTCACACCATGCTTCTAACGGTACTTGAGCGCGACAGTCACGAACACTTCAATTCTACCAAACCAGCAAGGGCACTAACCTTCATTTTGTGATCTAAATTACGTCATTCTGCGCAAACAAACGCATAGCAACTTCGCATATTCAGAGGTAGTAACATATCAAAATTTGATTCAGGTGGAAATTAAGAGGAGATCAATTCGGGTAATGCCTTCTACCACTCAGTCCGGAACCCTTTGTCTTCTCTTCTGCTAGCTAAAACCGTAAAAAATTAGAGTATACAAAACTATAATTTTACCTGTGGTTCTGTATGGGTGTGAAACTTGGTCTCTGACATTAAGGGAGGAACACAGACCGAGGGCGTTTGAGAACAGGGTGCTGGGGAGAATAGTTGGACCGAAGAGAGATGAAGTGGCAGGAGGTTAGAGAAAACTGCATAATGAGGAGCTTCATAACTTGTTCTCTTCTCCACGTATAATTAGAATCAAGTCAAGAAGGATGAGATGGGCAGGACATGTAGCATGAATGTGGAGGAAAATCGGAATGCGTATAGGATATTGGTGAGAAAGCCAGAAGGAAAGAGACCTCTAGGAAGATCAAGACGTAGGTCTGTGGATAATATTAAAATGAATCTTAGAGAGGATTGAGTGGCATGGACTAGATTGATCTGGCTCAGAAAAGGGATCAGTGGAGGGCTGTTTTGAACACGGTAATGAACCTTCGGGTTCCATAAAATTTGGGAAGTTCTTGAGTAGCTGCACAACTGACAGCTTCTCAAGAAGGGGTAAGCTCCACGAAGTTACTTAGTTACAGTTGTTACCGATTGTCTTTTTGTGAGTTTTTACAATTCCCACACAAACAGCTCACACGCGTCATCAATTGGAGCGAACATATTCACTTGCTTTATCGGCCGTGTTCATTTCGGCCCTCCTGGGTTACAGTCTCATGCCTATGTTAAGGACAAGTTTTCTTTATGAAGCCAGGGAACGAACTAATGTGTATCATGTTTCTTAATTCCCTTTAAGACATCTTCTAATACAGTATTGTTAGACGCAACGGTTCCAGATTCTAACCCTCCCTACCGGTGAGTCTGTTTGTAACCTGCAATATCTAGAACCCAACCAATTCCTTGGACTACACTCTTGTCCGAAACGTCTGTATTCGTCTGTAAGATTACGCTGTGTCACAGCCCAGAAACCCATGTAAGTCTTCATGTAATGTGTTCTTTTTTTATTGCTAGTGGGGTGGGACTAAGTCCCTTGTACTGCGACCACTTGTGGCCTATTGTACCAGCCCCGGATGATAGGTGAGGGTGATTGTGGAGCAATTGTTGGAATGAAGATTGGCAGAGGAAACCGAAGTACTCGGATAAAACCTGCCCCAGCGCCACTTTGTCCACCACAAATCCCACTTGACCAGACCCGAGATCGAACCCGGACCGCCGCGGTGGGAAGCCAGCGACTAACCGCTTGAGCTATGGCGCGGCCAATGTATTCGTTACTGCTGGCCGATTTTAGCCAAGAATGGGATGTGTTAACAATGTTATAAATGCTTCCCAGTATCAACATTTCATGCCACTCTGTTCAGCGGTCCTGGAACTGTTATATGGATAATAGACAGTGAGACATGGCGGAGCTAAAAGTCGTGTTTCGCAACTCTCCGTCGAGATCACGACAAAAATGAGAGGAAACAATGCAGACTGTTCCCTTACTGCACACATCCACAAGCCAATGCCCTAAGGATGAAATGTTTCAGTCCACAAAATGGTTGTATGCACCAAACTCGTATGGTATTGAGTACTGTCTTACATGATGTGACGCCGTGTACTCTGCTAGAAATCTGCCGACATTTCGAGTGGGGTTACTGCTTCCATCCTCAGGGTCGAAGAGTAAGTGGAGCAAACCAGGAGTGGCAAGCAGAATGCATGCTGATTGTTTGCCTTACTCCTATACCCTGAAGTTTGGTAGCAGTACGTACTCCGCAGACTTCTACCAGACTACACGGTTCCGAATCCCGGAACATAATGTTCACAATCACTGGTGCGAGGACCTCAAATCTAGCATCATACAAGCATTGGCTACTTGAACAAACTGCGCCTCTCTACCCCTGTGTTTCGTAACATGTGCCACCTTCCATTGCTTGCCCCACTTGACTGACTCACTCCTACTGTAACAGCATATCGAGGCGCGAAGCATGGTGACGAGAGACCGCAAGCACAGTGTGTCTTGCTCAGAGAGCCAGCATGACCGTGCATGACTGTCACACTGCGCGCGTGGAGACGCGTGTCTTTGTAGTGTTTTGTTGGGTCGGTCAAACTGGGTTTGGTTAGTGTGACAACAGCCTTAAGCCAATTATAAGCCTGAAGGTAATGTAAATCATATTTTCAAAATCCACTTTGTATCGTACAGAAAACACTCTGCGTCTCCATTACAAAGGTCAGTGGGTTAAAGCCGGTTAGAGAAATAATCTATGTATGTTCTGAGAACACACGAAACACACGTATATATAGCGTGGCCAAAATCTGCAAGTCGCATCCTTAAAGGAAAGTGGTATATATATTTACACTGTGCTTTAGAGGGTTATTGATGGATGTCTGCATTGGATGTTTGTAGACAGTCACGAGTGACAATCTTGCCACTGCAATGCAGAGTTTCACAATGGGCACCGATCCAAACTTGTGAAATAGACCTGCTTGAGTTCCGAATGAATTGAAGACACGTATAGCTAGCCGAAGTCGTCACAATCAGCTAAAGACATTGCTGGTAGCAGTTCTGTTGCAACCCTTAATGCAGTTCATGGGGGGGGGGATGACACATAAGCATATTCATTTTATTCTCCAAAACCCATGAGTTTCGGGCGTTACCCCTGAATATGAAAAGGAGTTCGATGTAGTATACATGCTGTCTGCGCTTCCCGTAGGCATTTTCTCTCGAACAAATGGTTATAACAGGAACAATATGCTACCCAAGCTTGTTAAAACACGGGTCATGTTCAGAATACGGTAAGAAGCGCACTTATGACAGTCTTGTTCCGAAATGTAGTAAGAATTTTCAGAATTAATTCGCGAATCTTGTTGGGTCGTAATAAAACGCTAAAGATTTATGCGTACTGACGGGAAACGGTAGCACAGCAAAACACTAACGTAACACAACAGAAACGAAACTGTCACTGCTGCTACATTTCGGAGCAATAACGTCATAGCTGCAGAACAGTTTCTCACTGTATTCCTGAGGTTGGCCTCAACTATATAAAATTCTAAACTTACCATAATAATCGATTGTCGTACATTCCATAGAAATAAACGCCATAACTTTTTTGGCTAGCCTCAAAAATACAGTTACAAATTAAATTCCGCGATTATTGTTCTGAAATATAGCAGAAATTGGAGTTTATGTTCCTATTTTAGTACGATGCAGCAAAATTCGCCAATTTATTGTTAGTTTTACTGAGTTAAGTTACTGTTTTAACATGGTACAACAAAGTTCGCCAATTAACTGTCGTAACTGGTGCTATATTTCAGAGAGAGAACGTCATAAATGCACTTGCTGCCATATTCTAAAGGAATTCAATTTTCTCTATTATTTTACTTGTGTTACATGGGGCACATAGACCATGGAATGTACGACGCAGTTTGGACAGGAAACTACGCCATTTATAATTCTACCGACAATGTTCTTGTCTTTCCTATCAACTCTTTTCTGCCGAAAGTGCGTCTAAGTTAGATTGTTTTAGGCCGCAAGGAAAGACCATTCTGTCTATTTAGTTGTAATTTCTAACATAAACGTTTTAGTTGTTTAGGCCCAGTGCAGTTATATAACATCTGAGAAAAAGATAACTGAGACGTTTAATTACTTTACATGCATAAGTATGACGAATGTGAACACATCAATTAATTACACCAGAGTGAAAAAGCCTTCCATGAAATGCGGCAAATTTGACCGTACTTTGACTACTGTTACTGACAAGACCGGCAGGATGGTACTGTTGTAAAATGAAGTACAATTATTACCTGTTATGCTGATGACTCCAATTACAAGCCATATCTTCCAGGCTGTAGTCCTGACTGGTGAAGTATTCATTGTGGAAACTGTTCCCGCGAAAAACACCAACAGTCCCAACGACGTCAGTTGCAAACACTCCTCTAAGTAAGCGCACTGTGTAACACTATTTGTGTATTTCTGTGATATATTTTATTGTGTCACAACCACTTGTCTTCTATCAAATTATTTATAAATTTTGCTTTTTCCGACCGAGTTTAAACACAGCCTATTGATCCCACTTGCTTCCCGCCGATTGTATGCCTGCGGTATCAACCAACATACGACCGAGTACCAAGAGGATCCGCGAAGAGGGAGACACTGTCGCGCACTGTGTCAGCTGACGTTGAAGACTTGCGTCGAAAAATGGACCTGGAAATAGAGAATGTCATTAAAGTAATATTTCCTGACGGTATGCCAGGTATGAGTGTACCGCATGCGTATGTATATATTAAACATTCACAAAGAAATTAACCGTTTTAATTTATAACAATGATAATGTTTAGCTGTTGGGCGTAAGTTATGCACCCACGAGTGCCCTCGTGTACAATTTTAAAAAGAATTTAAACGTTATGAATATTTGTTAGTGGGATGGAGTCGCACATATGTATTTAAATTTTGAATGTTTTGTTGTGTTTCTAAGAGTAGCTTTTGCATTAATTAAACAACGGTTTGTGACCTGCGTGAAAATTTCAGGAGGCTCGTCAAATTTTGTAATCGGGTTTCAGGTTTTCAGTTACTTTTAGTTTTTACCGTTAGATAGAGCTAATCAGTAACCACCCGTCCTCTTCAAAGATTTTGACGAAGTTATGATGAAACTTCCATCCATATGCCGTCGGATGTAAATCCGGTTGTGACAATATTGAGGTTATGGCTTTTTCAAAGATGATGTGATGCACCCATTTTAATACTTTTAAGTTTCTGACAAATATTGTGTACAGAATTATGGTGCTAAACCTTTGGAGCACCTAGGAGATAGGATAACACTGAGATAGGTGTTAGGGAAATATGACAATGGACAATAAGTGAAATCCCTAAGTATTTTTTCCAGTGGTGGGGTTTTGTGTTAGTGGCATTGAGTATGTGGGTTCTGTTAATAAGCATAGCTTCTGGGCTTTTTAATTTTTGTCTATATGTTCTGCTTGCTCTACACTAACATGTCTTACATAGATTGATGCACAGACAATGATTTCCATTTCTCCAATATTACCCCTTTAAAGCACAGTGGTTATTGTATTAACCACCCATCATAATATTAAGAGAACTCTGCATTTTCCCTGCATTATATATTTGTTTCCTATGATCATGGGAATAAACCATGGTTATTTTCCAAAACAGCATTAACCAGTTGGTCCTTGTAGTGGAGACTGTGTGCCTTTGAGGGTCATACAGCATCTTCTTAATATTACGAAAAATAAATCAGGCTTCTGATGGTAAAAGCATAAGAACCTGGTAAAAAGAAAAGGGTGGGATCTATAGAACCATTTCTCAGGTGTCAAGCTGTGTCTGCCACAAAAATAAATTAGTGACAGTATTGCTTGCAGTTCTTCAGTCGTGGTCCCTATTTGATAATACCTTATACCAGCTGATACCAGATTTTAAAATATAAGGTCATTGAAGAAGAAGACATTGTTAATAAGTCATTGTATACTGTAACGTTATATACTTCTGGATGGATTTTTGTACCAAAGCATCTGTGATCATCTCTTTATGCCTGAATGTTTCAAATAGTTTTATAATGGCGATATTTACGGGCTATATAATTGACTGATCACCAAGCAGATTGACCCAATAACATTTCTGGGTTGTATATGGGAGGTGCTCAGTTTAAATCTCAGCTAGCTGAGGAACTATAGTTAGCTATAGCTAGCTATCCAGTCTGAGGTTTCCTCCATCCCTCCTGGCAAGTGCCAGGAGAGTGCCTTGAATTAGGCCATGACCACTTCCCTTCCATATCTTCCCAGTTCATTATTATTCACTCTTATCCAACCACTCAGTGCTGCATAGTCTGAGATGCTGACAGTACCAGTAGACAAACCATAAATCAATAAGTAACTTCATGCAGTAGATTTTACACAAAACAAGACAATATAAATTTGCTGCATCACATAAGTTAATGAGACGGGACATTGTTATTGCTCATTTCCTGTCACATAAAAATGTAAACCTAAAGTACTATACAGTGAAGGCATAAAGGAGCTGTGGAGATAAAGCTCCAAAAATTAGAAACCTTTGCATTCAGTATCCTGGTTCATAGTGCAGGACCTGCCCCTCTGTAGAGCATGCAGTACCTGTTTGATAGAAGTCTGAGTTGGCCTCTGACCTGGTTTCTGTACATCTGTTTCATTTGTAGTTTAGTAGTTTATTTGGAAGGTCGCAGGTTCCATTCCTGATAGGTTATTGAATTTTTCAGTTGACCTAATCCTTCCAGCCACACTGTGGCTCTGAGGTCAACTTAGCTTGTAACAGAAATGAGGGATCTTCCAAGGGGTAAAGGGTAGCCAGCATGTAAGGCTATGACAACCTGACCGCCATCTATGGGGGCCTCCACAGCCTGTTACAAGGATAGCTTTACCCCCCTCCCCTTTTCCCATGACACTGAGTAACCCAGACTGTACACAGTGTGCCTGAAATGTAATGAGGCGGCATTTGCTATGTTCATAAGAATTTTTGTCTCATTACTTTTCAGAGACTCTGTGTATAGCACCAAATGACCATATGAATAATGAACTGCAGAGCATGTAGAAAGAAGTTGTTGTGGCATAATTTAAGATGTTATCCCAGGATGCCTGAAGAGACTGAAGATAACCACAAAAAACCTCCAGCAAGATCATCAGTGTCCTGCCTAATATTTTATCTCATTGAAATGTGGTGATGAAAAGAAGGTAGCCCTAGCCAAGAATTATTCAACTTGTAGTCAGCGACAGAGCTACTGATGTGTTTGTTTGGTTGAACACACCTTTGGTGTCCATGCCGTACCTTAGATGGTTAGTCACAACCTCTCATAGGAACCCAGGTTCATTCTCATGGTAGACAATGAGGGATTTGTGGTAGACAAGATGGCAGTTTTTTTTTCTCCAAGCACTTCAGTTGTCTTTACACCAGTTCTGCAAACTTAGATATGATCAGGAGCTGATATAAGAGGAACACTTGAGGCCGCAGTACCAAGGGACTCAAGTCTTACCCCATTCCCAAAAGAGCAAAAGAACAAAACAGAAATAATCAGTGGACAACATTTTCCCAAGTAAGTGAATTATTGTTGCACCTATGCTGGTGTGACAGACTCAAATCCTACCAGAGCATCAGTAATTGTCAGCATTTTTCTGTTGTCTTATGCTGTCTTCTAATGGTTGAGGCCTTGCAACAGACAAATCTTCTGACCCATTGCCAACAAAGACATTCGTCATGTTTAAATTAATTATGAAGGCAGAACTCTCTGACATTAGGGAGGAACATAGATTGAGGGTGTTGAGGAGAATATTTGGACTGAAGAGAGATGAAGTGACAGGAGGTTGGAGAAAACTGCATAATGAGGAGCTTCATAACTTGTACTCTTCTCCAAGTATAACTAGAATGATCAAGTCAAGGAGGATGAGGTGGGCAGGTAATGTAGCACGAATGGGGGAGACGAATGCGTATAGAATATTGATGGGAGAGCAAGAAGGAAAGAGAAGGGCTCAGCTCCATGAGTGAGTAAGTAAGTAATAAGTCAGAACAAATTGTTGTGTTCAGTGTGTAGAAGCAGGAGGAAAACTGGTCACCATTAGTCTTAAATACACTTCACCATAGGTAACAGTCTACAACAAAACAAAAATTGTCTTTCCTTTAAGGAAAGAGAGATGATTTTGATAAATTTCAATGTGGTGAATTTCAAACCCGTCTTGAAAGTTTATCACTCAAATTTTTTCTAGGGAAAGGGCCAAATCGAGGAACACAAGTTACAGTATCCTGCCCTGTGGCTGAGCAGCATTTGGCATTGTATTAACCAACAGCTTGCCACTCTCCAAGTCTCATCTTTCCAAGATATCACATATTTTCATATTTAAAAAAAAACATCACAAATGTAGATTCTAAAGGAATCACAAATGTAGCCTTCTGAGAAAAAAAATGGTGGCAGAATGTTTTCAATATTTAGACATCCTGTTGCACCAACATGTCAGTTATTTCACACATATCTTTCTGTCACTAATGCAACAAAAGGTTAGACTCACTTTAATTCTTTATTCATGACATGTTTCAGCCATAGATGGCCATCTGACCCTATGGTAACCTGTTTTACTCTACTGCATGTCACAGTTGCACAAGGCTAGTTACTGGAACTACGTCATTAAAATTACAAATTCAAATTCAATTTAAAATATGTCAGCCTTATTAAATTTAATAAAACCAGTTAATTCCTATCTTCTTATGGGGCCTATTAGAGCAATCTTTGGCACCATTTTTATAATCTGCACTTAAAAATGCACTGAAATCATGATGGTTCCCAATAAGGAGTGAAGCAGTGTTGTAGTGTAAACGTGGTATAATGTGAAGTATATGAATAAGTATGAAAGTTACTGAATGTGTTCCGTGTGTTGAAAATTATTGTTCATGTTTAATTTTTATGTTGCAGACAACTGGAAAGAAAACCCTGACTTTGTGTTGTATCTTACAAAGTTGGGATCTTTTGGAGTTGAACAATTAAGTAAGCAATCTTGTGTTCCGACATAAATCTCGTCACTTCCCAGAGGAGTGCCTTAAGTGCTGACAGCTCTGCTTTTTGAGTATCTAGTGCATTATCATGTTCTCATAATTTTATCTCGGTGTTTGCCTTTATGACATTGCAGCTAAAGAGCCAGACAGGTTGAATGAAGAGAAATCATTGGCACTGGAACAAACACAGGAACTTGCATTTACAAATTATAAGACTTTCATACAGACTGCAGAGTGTTCCAGGGAGATTTTCAAACAGGTATACAACAGTCAGGGTCAAGGCAGATGCTTCATTATATACTGCTTATCCTTTTACATTTTAGTGGTTACTATATGGACCATCTGCTTTAACATTATAAAAATACATTTTCTCCACAGAGTGCATTTGTTTCATGTGATTCTCATGAAAAACCATAGTTCCCTAACTAACTCCATAGACCTGAGCCCTTCTTGAGAAGCTGCAAATTGCACAGCTATTCAATCATTACTGTGTTCACAACAGGTCTCTACTGGTCCCTGTCCTCAGTCAGATCAATCCAGCCCATGCCACACCATCCTATCTCTGTAAGATCCATCTAATATTATCCTCCTAATACATCTAGGTCTTCCTAGTGGTCTCTTTCCTTCTGGCTTTCCCACCAAAGTCGTTTATGCATTCCTCCTCTTCACCATGCATGCCACATTCCCTGCCCATCTCATCCTCCTTGGCTTGATCATTCAAATTGTACTTCTTACATCCATTTTCCTTAGCTTAGGTCATTTATCTGTGAGCCAGGATAGCACACTCGACATAGCAACTGGCTACGGGTTGGACAACCGAGGGGTCAGAGTTTGAGTCCCAGAAGGGTCAAGAATTTTCTCCATGTTGTCCAGACTGGCTCTGGGGCCCACCCAGCCTCCTAGCCAGTGGGTACTTGGGACTCTTTCCCTGGGGATAAAGCAGCCGGGGCATGCAGCTAACCAATCACCTCAAAGTGGCGCTGAAGTTATGAAAACGCGGCTCTATAATTCACTCCCACGTCTTCATGGCATGGTGCTTAATTAGCACAGGTACAACTTATCATCTCCTTTTAGATCATTTATCCAAAGAGTCCATGGTGCCTATTCACTGTACCTATAGCTGCCCTCCATCCACAACCTGAGGAGATGCCATGCTGCGTGATAAGGGACCCACTTAACATGGCACCATATTTCCCTAAACAACATTAAGCAGTTAGTCTTTGTATTGTAGATGCACTATGTTTTCTTTGAGGTAGGTAATCAATCTGTATATATTATTTAGCTGAAATTCAGGATAAATAGACTGAGTGAACAAAATCTGAAGTTTCTGAATATTGAAGCAGATGGTACACACACGTATAGGGATGACCTTCAAAGATTTACTTCGGAAGAATAATAAAATATTTAATATCATACAACCTCATATTTTGTTCGCCCTTCTCTGCCAGAGAACTCTGAAGCTGATGTGTGGGTTGGTGGCTAAGGTTATGCTGAGTTACTATAAAAGAAATAGACACTTTCAACGTTTTATAGAAACGAAAGTGTTACTGATAGAGACAAAATACTTGCATGAGTTTTACTGTATGTCCTTAAGTTTGTATGACTAAGTTACAAATGTTCTACATATGAGCCTTTTGTCTCATGACAGATATCAATACAATAATCCGATTCATTCCAAACACACCAGAGCATGTCCTCATCAACACTTGCAACAGCTGTTGTGATGTGTTGTTTTAGATCGTTTACACTTACTGGAAGTGGAGGAACAAAAACTCGTCTTTGATTTATCCCCACAAGAAAAAAATCGAAATTACATGGATCAAAATCTGACTTTACATTGGATTGGCCACCTGACAGACCAGAACATGGTATTGATACTTTGGCCACCAAGAAGTCCGGGTCTAATGCCTTGTGATAGGCCGCGCCATACCTCAAGCGGTTAGTCGCTGGCCTCCCACTGCCGCGGCCCGGGTTCAATCCCGGGTCTGGTCAAGTGGAATTTATGGTGGACAAAGTGGCACTGGGGTGGGTTTTCTCCGAGTACTTTGGTTTCCCCTGCCAATCTTCATTCCACCAAATTCTGCATCATAATCACCCGGTGCAGGTACAATAGGCCAATCAGTGGCCACCATGCTGAGTGGACCCAGCTGGACTCCACCCCTCACTAAGCGAAACGCCTTGTGATTTTTTCTTGTAACATAATTACACATCTTTCAGAAGTAAGATAGGGAACAGACGAGTTTCCTGAAATCGTTGTTACTCATATCATTGTTTAATTACATAAACTTATATATAACGTTTTCAGTTCAATAATACTGAACAAAGGTTGGATTCATTGATGACGAAGTTGCCAGAATTTGCACAGCAATGTCAGAACTTCAGCAAAGCATCAAGTGATATAAACACTCACAGACGCCTGAACTCCCTGACTCTTACAAGAAATGCACAGCTTCTAGAGATTTTGGAGCTTCCACAGCTTATGGACACCTGCATCAGGAATGGGAACTATGAAGAAGCACTGCAGTTAGCTGCGTACGTCAGAAAGCTCGGCAACAAGCATGGACAGATACCGATTATTGCTGTAAGTTTTGACTGCAGGAAGTGTATTCACCAGATCTGAAGTTGATCTCCCATCAATACATTATTAAAAATTGTCTTTGAAAAGTTTCTGGTGGTGTATGTTTGCAAACTTTGTACCACTTTTCATCCCCAGACTCACACACACCATTCGCCTCAGTCTGCACCGCACTTTTTCGTTTTAATGATTTCCAAAAGAAATATTAGCAATGTTAGTGTAAAATCTAGAAGATGTGAAGACAAAATAATTATATAATGTCATGTCAGTGACTAGACGTGAGGTTTGGGTTGATAATTGGATTTACTGAACGCTTTATAAACTCGCAACTATATATAACTGTAACAGTCTCACCGATTTATGCACTGTAAATCATTACAACTGCAGCACACATAAAGTATTCTGTTTGTTCACTAGTCCTTGCTGGGTAACAGCAGCCATCACTATAACTCAAAGACTGCTAACCACTGAATCCAACATCTGACTGACTGTCTTGTTCAGTTGGTGCTCATCGTATAACCTCGGCACAGACCACATCAATAACACCCCAGCATCTGTTGCTTTACCATGCTGGCTGCATCTATTCATCCCACTATTATCGCTTTCAGTCATCATGTCACAATATATATACGAGGGGGTACCCAAAAGAAACCGAACTTATTTATTCAAATTTTAAGCACAAACCTTCAATCCCCTTCAAAGTACTCTCCACTTACACTAATACACTTGTCTAGTCTTTTATTCCATTTTTCAAAACATTGTCTAAATTCATCTTTTGAGATGCTTGACAGCGCCTCCGTTGTTTTTTTCTTTCATGTCTCTTTTCATTCGAGGAAACAAAAAAAAGTCGCACAGGGCAAGGTCAGGTGAGGAGCAGGGGTCATACCATTTTTGGTCAAGAATTGTCGTACAGACAGGGCTGTGTGAGCAGGGGCATCGTCATGATGGAAAAACCAGTCACCCGACTGCCACAAATCTGGCCGCTGAGCTCTAAGTCACTCCCGACAGCTCCACAATTTCTTCAATGGTCCGTCGTCGATCTTCCTTGATGATTTGACGAATTTTTTCAACATTTTCATGTGTTCGGGCCGGGGAAGGATGACCAGAACGAGGTTTGTCATCAACTGACATTTCACCATTTTTGAAACAGGAAAACCACTCAAACACTTGAGTTTTCCCCATTGCATCGTCCTTGTACGCCGTTTTTAACATTTCAAGAGTTTCTGTTCCACTTTTCCCGAGCAAAAAGCAGAATTTCACCGCCACACGCTGTTCACGAAAATCAGCCATTGCAAAAATGACGATCACACAAAACTGTTGTCACTATAAACTCTGCCGAAACTAGTCCTTACCTTCTGAAGCAACGGTAGTCGGCTTATCGACTCAGGAATGTTAGCTCTATGCGCTCATAGCGGCAAAACGTGGTACTACAAAAGTTCTGCCCACAAAAAAATTAGTTCGGTTTCTTTTGGGTACCCCATCGTATATACACACACCACTAAAGGGTACATACATATATTTTTCAGAGCCCATGGGCTTATGTATCACTGTTTGAGGAAAATATGCCTCAAAGATACTTAGGTATGCTTGTAATTATGGTTTTGGGGATAAGGAACACACAGCTGCTCACTCCTGGAACACAATTCTTGGTCAAGGTAATAATATGTACCCAGTGGACTTACTCAGAAGAGGAGATAACAGGTTAATTCTTAATAATTTATGGACATAAAGAACTTGTCTTAGGAAAGCGAGACAAAATTTATTAATTCTCTTTCCCTCCCTGTAGAATATGACATTCTAATAAATCTTACACTTAACTTTAATATGTTAGTGTTGCATGCAGTAGGAAATGCAATATTATGGTGACTGCACAATACCTCCTCATATCTCCCTATGTTAATATACTGGACACTTCATTAAGTTCAAAGGAAGTTAATATTTGTAACCATTTATAAAGTTCACTGGTTTCTTGGACACTAGCACAGGAACACACAAGTCAACCAAATTTTGTAAAGGACTGACGTGTGTCGACATTAACAATACAATACCATAATCATCATGTGTAAGCTGTTATTACATATAGAAGGCGTTGATTCTTTACTGTCAATCTGTAAAAAATTGCACCATGATAATCTGAACATAGTCAAGTTAAGTAATGCACTGTCCTAGCAAAGGGTTTTAAATCCCCTTATTCTGGACAATAAAGGTTAAAGTACATGGATTCTTTGCTGCACACTTCCCAGGGAGTTATAGATGAAGCTGATTTACAGTGGACAGTATATAATGTCACGTGTCCAGGGTTCTGTGACAATAATTGTAGATTCCAGATTAAATGAAGCTGTTTTATGTTATAACCCGTTCACAATTACATTTACAATCACTGTGAATTAGTGTCTTCCAGACGATGTCATCTGACTAGTCTGTCATCTCTGATCTCATTTCCAATCTGGTCTTCTCTGATCTCTTTCTCGTCTGTATTCCATTTTATCTCTTATCTTCCACAGTTGGACAGACTAGAAGACACTGTCTTGAAGGGTATTCGTTGCAGTGGGAACTGAAGTAGCTCTGGCTTTCATTCCCATGTCAACGTCTGCCAATGTGCGTGCTGTGGCAATAACCTGTTTACAGTTGCCACCTAGGCAATGAGGTATTCACTGTTCCTTGTTGTATGGGAAACATAGTTATTGAGTCATCGTCTAGCAATGGACATATCTGTATGCACTGTCTCAGAAATACGTTTTAACAGCCATTGTCTAGCACTGGATGCCCACTCAGATATTCTGGCTTTTAGGCAGCATGCCACAATAATAAGAGCACTATCCTTTTCAGAGCATAGTGAAGGATGTGGAAGGAGCATGGCTGTCAATGCTTCACCAATTGTTGGCACAGCTTCGAACAGACCTCCAGTTACCGAGGTGCCTACAAGTGGTGGGCTACCTCCGCCGCATGGAGCTGTTCTCTGAAGCTGAGCTGCGACTGAAATTCCTCCAGGCTAGAGACACATGGCTTCAGAACTTGCTTTCAGCTATACCAAAAGAGGATGGTATGTTGCAGTGGCATACAATTCATTAGTGTGTGTGGAACTTCTCAGCGCTGAAGTGATCCATAGAGCATCTCCTCTGAGGTCAAATTAGCACTTATCATTATCAATATGGAGCACTTCAGTAAACACTAACCTGAAACCAACAGGGTAACCCAAACGAACATTTATTTGATGGGCATTTATGAGGGAGAGTAAGTAAATAGGTCACAGATGGATGGAAAGCATAAAACATGTGATATTCAAAACTGGAAAAACTTTTATTTCTCGACATATCCTCAACCAACATTGATACACTTGTCCCATTGCTTTATCAGTGCTTCAAGCCCACGGCATATCCGCACCTCCGATTCATCATCTGTGACTTTTGAATGTCCTTGAGAGAACCACTTAATGCAACAAACACTTCCCACCATAAAGAGGAAACATTTCTTTATGAATTAGCACTACATCGAGTTCTTTTACCCAGAAAAAAATGGATAACAGAACAATGCTCTTCGGTAGTACACTCCTCAAGCACAGTCATCATTTTGACTAATAAAACAGCCTCTAAACATGCACATGCACATGCACATCTGCTATTCAGAATGTCAGGAAGCCGGATTTTGCTGCTACCTAGTGATACACACACAAATCCTATTACATCCATTGCAGCTGTTTTACTTCTATTTGTGACCTGTTTAGTGACTCTCCCTCTTGCATGTATTATCATGGCTGTATATGTAACTGATTGAATTCGTATCTCTATAAAGATCATAAGAGAATTCATCCATAATGCCTCCTCTTAATTTCAAGCATGTCCAGCAACAAAACAGGCCAATGGATAATGTCCGAAAAGTCTTTTATATCTTCAGAATGTATCACATATGACTTCAAATTCAGATGGGAAATGTCTTTCTCAAGCCTCACAGTGTACAGATAAGTTGTAGCCTGTCTGTCTATACTGTTAAGAACTTCACTTACATAGTTGACATCATTACTTCTTGAACATAAGACTGATTTCTTAATACAATTTACAGAATTGATTAGAGACAGACTGTCTCCAGATATTAGCCTAATTACGACTTAGGAAGTCATGTAACTTGTGGAACAGGAGAAATGCTATTGCTTAAATATGCATGGATTAAATTCCCATTTTTATATCAAAGTTTTAATGTTTACATTTTCATCTGAATAATTTCATTTGGTACTGTATCTGTATTTGCAGGTGAGGAGTGGCTGTTTCTGAAATTTCTCTTATATATGTGTATTAATAGATTAATTTCAGGACAGTTTCAGTGGCTTGCTCTATCCTTCTACATAATTTGCCTTTAAGTTTTGACAAAGTAAGACAATTAAGTTGACACATGTTGAATCATATACATACACGATTCAAACAGCCATTGGGATTTGGTTTGACAGTATAATGCCTTATTGCTCTGGCAAAGAAACATCACCAAAAATTAGTTAGAGTTTTTGATGTTAAGTGGTTCCCTTGTCACCACAGGCTGGCATGTCCCCCAGCTGTGGGTGAGGGAGACGAACTGCAAATATGGAGGGCAGCCACTGGCAGTTACTCACCACATGAAGAGATTGTGTTATGAAATGTTGCATAGGGTTTCCACCCTGAATGGGTAGCAGCTCTTGTGAACACAGTAATGAACCTTCATGTTCTATAAAAGAGTGAAGAATTTTTAGATAGCTGAGTGACAGCTAGCTTCTCAAGGAGAACCCTGCTGCATAGATTCAATCGGTTGGTTGGTTAGAAGCACAGAATTCAGTTATGCTTATGTGCTAATTTATGTGGGTGTGTTATCCCAACAAAAACTGACTGCAGTCCATTTAAATTTGATGGCTGTGTTAGTGATGATGATGATGATAATACTGTGATTTGCTATTTAATAATGGTTTCACCATTCCTCTGCAGCAAATCACCACCTGAGTAAAACCATTGAACTATCACGAATTCATTTATTCAACATTGTGACACAATACAGAGCAATATTCAGTGATGATGACCCAATTCTGCCTTTAGCAAAGGACCAGAATATCAATGGAAGTGCAATATTCTATAGTTGGATAACTGAAAAGGTATGTACAGTCTTGCTAGTGACAACTTGAGCTAGGGATGATAAGAAACTGCGAGTGTGGCTAAATAGAAGTTCTGCTGTGGGAAAGGTTTGGAAGTAAAGTAACTCCTTTACTTCTGTAGCCATTTGTTAATGTTCTGTGAATATGATGAGAGAGCTTTAAGAGCCACTAACAGTCAGCTTCAGACTGTCACTTGGCTCACTCTTCAGCCCCCAATATGGAGGCTCTACGTTGCTCCAAAATGTCAGGACTACAAATTAGATCCCAGAACAGAGGATTCTTCACAGATACTGCCATGTCTCTTGAAATCTAATATACATATAGAAAACCATTCAGTAAAGTTACCTTCCTGCTGTTGGCCATTCTGTGTTCAGATGCACCTTTTAGCTTCACTGTATCTGTCTGCATGATGTCTGTATTTACACACAACAGTGAAAATTATTATAGGATGTAAGATTCATACTGTAATTCATTCATGCACCTGCAAGAGAAATTTGTATAAATATACTAAGTTACGAAATATCCAAACATTTTGATTGAATTGTGCATAATCAACAGATTCACTTGAAGACATAGCTGATAAGAAACAAAGAAATCTTCATACATTTGAATTTACATTCCATAAATTCAAGTACAAGTTCACACCACAGGATATGGAACAAATCAGCTTTAAAATCCTCTGCATTTATAACTTGTACAGTGTGTTAAAATACGAAAAATATAAAGGTAAAGTTGTCCCTGTAACAGGCCATGGAAGCCTATAGGGTTGTGAGAAGTCAAGGCTCCCACATTTTCTAGACAGTAGGATCACAGATGGCGGTGAGGCTGTCAGACTGTCAGCCTTAGCCACCGGCCACTCTTTACCCCCAGGAAGATTCCTGGTACTCATTTCTGTTAAGAGGCTGAGTCGACCTCAAGGCCATAGTGTGGCTGGAAGGATTAGGTCAATTGAAAATTCCAATGACCTCATCAGGAATGAAGCCCGCAACCTTTCACCTTGTAGCATAGTGCCTCAAACAGCTATGTTACTATGTGCCCTCTTAATAAAACACTGCATTAATAATACATTTAGGACACTAAACTCAACCTTAAAGAAGAACAGCTGGAATTTGAAACCACCATTATCTCCTCTCCCCACATTTTCAGTTGCATTGTATAAGATTTAAATTCCAGTTATAACATTAAAACTTCATTTTGGTGCAAGTTTGGCAAGGAGCTTCAACTCAAATGGACACGTATGTTGTACATTTTTACTGTCCCATTTTGATTACAGAGACAGCATTTTGATAGGTGGTTATTCTTGGATGACCGACCTATGGACCCAACAGTAGGTTTTTAATATTTGATGAACGCAGAGCCACTGTTCAAAAGCCTGTGATTCTTTGTCCAAATATTAAATGATGGAAAGTGTAAAACGTATGCTTGGGTATGAAAACACACCTTTGTCACTAGTCTTTACATTTAATGCCTAAATTTTGCCAGGATAGCGCATTTGGTATAGTGACTGGCTATGGGCTGAACAACTGAGGGGTTGGAGTTCGAGTGCCGGTAGTCAGGGCCGCCTCTTCTCCATGTTGTCCAGACCATCTCTGGGACCCACTCAGCCCCCTATCCAATGGGTACAGGGGGGGGACTGTTTCCCAGGAACAAAGTGACAGGGGCGTGAAGTTGACCACTCAGATCAAACTAGTACCAAAGTCAAGAAAATGTGGATCTATACATCCATTGCCCCATACACATTCATGGTGTGGTGATTAATTAGTTAAGCACGGGGACAACTTTGCCTTCATGTGTGCTCAGAAGCATTTAGGATGTATCTTTCACCAAAGTCAAGTGGTTAGGACTTCTGTTGCATATTCTGGAAGCCCTGGGTTCAGATCTTGGCTCAGGGACCTGACTGGCCATGATCATATCTCAAATTGTGCAACGGCTCCTTCCCTCTACATCCTTTCCAATTCAGTGATCCTCCCATTTGATGCTGTATAATCAGATCTACTACCAGCATTGTCAAGCACGCCATAAATAAGTGTTCCACAGAACAGGGAGCTCTCAGCTCTACATAGTTGCATGTACACATGTTTCAGGTCACCCAGTTCCTGACTACCCTGGAACAGGACTTGAATAGAGGAGTTGGTAGCTCCCTGGACTCTATAGTTGGTCAGTGTATGTACTTTGGGCTTTCATTCAGTCGAGTCGGAGCAGATTTTCGAGGTCTCCTAGCACCCATTTTTATTAGAACTGTATCACAGAATTTTGAGCATGCAGTACGTAAAGCCAGCAAGAAGTTTGAGCAGGATATGGAAAATTTTACTTTGCCAAAACTGCCTCAGCCTAGTTTACCAAAGAGTGTGCCATCATCAGAGTCTGCAAAGCAGGTAAGATTTCCTGCAGTTTATTAATATGGCAGACTTTGCCACAATGACATGTGCAACAACCAGTCATCAACAAGGAGGGGGCATCACATTCACTGTCTCATATATACATGAGGGAGAGTCAGTAAATAGGTCACAAATGGATATAAAACATATGATATTAGAACCTGGAAAAAAAACATTAATTGCTCGACATATCCTCCACCAACATTGATACATCTGTCCCATCACTTTACCTGTGCACAGAAACCTGCAGTCTTTTGACTATTGCCTCAGCCACTTCCACACCTGGTCGGGCATCATTTGCAGCTTTTGAACGTCCTTGAGGGAATTTCTTGACCCAGGTGTGAACCACTTTACACAACAAACACTTCCCTCCATAAACAGGAAACATTTCTTTATGAATTGAGCCCTTTTTCCCGCAAAAAACATACAACAGAACACTGCTCCTTGGTATTACACTCAAGCACAGTCGCCATTTTGACTACTGAAACCAGCCTCTGAATAAGCACATGCGCATCTGCTACCTAGACTGTCATGAAGCTGGACTGTGCTGCTACCTAGTGATACACACAGAAATCCTATTACGTCCATTACAGATGTTTTACTTGCATTTGTGATCTGTTTACTGACTCTCCCTCATATATATCAGAAACTTACTGTCATTCCCCATATCAACCCTACTGGTGGGGACTGAACAGATTTCTTCTACATTTGTTTTTAACTCAAATCTGACATGGCCGAGCGCACACAAATTTTTGTACGCATATGTATACACCTTCAGCTTGAAAATCCTAATGTAATACTTTCTGTTACAGGAACACCACCCTCCTCAGTGCTTGCTGGAGTTCCACCCATTGGCTGACTTCTGCAACGGAATCTTAATTGCATTTAATGAACTCCGACTGTGTGCTCCCATAGCAGTTGCAGATAACGTCACTAACCAGTTGAAAGAGTCACTGAGTGGAGCTGCTAGCTGCACTTTGGCCTTTTATCGACAAGAACAACAAGCGCTGACACAAGTAGAGAAGGATAATTTTACACGATTCTGTGCCTACTTTGCAGGAGAACTGCTCCCCTATATACAGAAATGTCTTCATGCTGTGTTCCCACCAATAGTTATTGCATCTCATCTCGGAGTGACTGTTCAGCATTTGCAAAAACAGGTACATACAAAACTCATTAGAAGCAGTTTGAGTGTTTTGATTAATAACAACACTTTCAAATCCACAGGCCTTAAACGCATATACAGCAAAATCCAGCTGCAGCAGTTTGAAAACACTGTATAATGTGGGCTTCAGAACCCACTGGCTCTGAAATGTTTTGAAATCTGGGCTTAGATTTTGTTTGCATTTCTTTTTACCATGAACACGTAGCAGCCATACCCTCTTCTGTGACCTTTCTTTGACCAAAGAATGCATTTTGATTATCAGTGTACAACAAATGAAATCTAAAAATAAGATAACATTGTAACAGCATGAACCTGCTGCTTTATAAATGAAGCTGCAAGGGCAGGAAGGGTGTCATTTAAAGAAGTCTTCAAAAGGGTAGTACTTTTAAAGTGTAAGTAGGATAACATTTGCATAGTGATGGGGAGAATTGAAATGTCCAGCATAAAATATTGTCACTTTTGACATCAGTTGTAATAATCTTACTGACTACAGACAGGTTTTGGATTGGTAATCGGATTTATTGGACTCTTCGATACAGCGCGTAACTACACCTTACAGTACACTGTTACACACACACACACACACACACACACAGTGTCCACAGTCATGTCTTCACTGCCGTTGCTTGGTAGTGGCTTTCAACAGCAGACACTCCCCTTCCTCTGGGTTCCCAAACTGTCCCAGCCTCAGCTACCAGCTTCTCACAGCACTTCTCTATCTCACCAACGGACTCTTAGTTGTCTGACTTGTCCTGCTTAAAACATCTCAGCATGGACCACAGAGAAAATACCACTCCTCTTTTGCAGTGCAGTTGTTGCATTCATGTCTGTTGGCATAGCCGTTACCTAGCAACAGGTTTGTATAATTGCTTATTTTGTGGTCACTGCCATAGTGAGCACTGATTCGGTAGAGCTCGTTTCACCATGGGAGGTTCCCACAGTCACAGTTAACAGTCTTTTTTCTTTTTTCATTGGGCAGGGTTTGGCATATTTTGACCAGGATGCAATACTGGATCCCATGAGCCACTTGCTTCCTGTGAAGGTGGAACCACTGCCCTTGCCCATCTCATCACCTCATGGTATTTCTGGGTTTCAAAAGGATTCCAGCCAGTCTGACAACGCAGCTATCATGCCCACTGTCTCTGAACAAACATCACATGGTGAACAGGATGCACCACCAACTGTAACATCAGCTGGCTTTTCAAATACACAAGCTGTAAATCAGTTGCAAGAGTCTGTGGAAAATCTACTTTCTCAGGCAGAAGGATAACCCAAACAAGATCACAGCTTAGGAATCACCTGCATTATCAGTTTCATCCCTCACTGTTCATTGTATGGAGGGGAGACTGTGAACTACCTTTATGATTACAGCGGTCTGGAGCATGATGCCGTGCAGTTTGGTAGATAGAAGGAACCTTCCTTCTTCGTTTTCAGGGTACAAATATAAACATCAGAACACCTCTCTTCCAAACTATGTGGTGTTACATCCCAGGAGACTGTAATCTTAATGCTCAACATCATAAAATTTCAAGTACCTTTCAAATTCAGAATCAAAACCCTGCAGTCTTGAGTTGCATCATTATATCAGTACAGACTGATTATCTGCTTATATAAAACTTAGGACCGTTTGTCTGCTATGGTCACTTCTATTTAGGCCACCTAAAACTGAGGTCCCTAGCACTCAACTTGAAGCAAATGAATGCTGCTTCCACAGGACTTCTGTTACAGGATAACTAAATACTAAACACTGTAGAGAACAAAAGATTCCCATTTGTACTTTGGAAGCATTTATGCTTTCTTCATGACTATATCACCTTTATATGTAAACTAGAACGTGTAGGATTTGAGGTTCTCACAGCAGTGGTTATGAAGAGTTCTGTCTTCTGGGATATAAGACCATGCAATCCATTGAAAGTCAACTGATGTTTCAGAGGAACATCTGACCTCCACCTTCAGGTTTCAAGAAACCAGCATGAAGCAGGCAGCAAGCAAAGCATGTGAAGGAAGAAACAGAAGGGACCTTGAAAGTAACCTGTCAGTTCCCACTGGCTCTATCACACAACCAGGTCAAACTAATAAGACATGGAGGTACAGTGACTAGGTCCATGCAGCTGTGGATGAGAACAGCATTGCAACTGATCTCCATCCCAATATTGTGGGCAGAGGATAGTTTCTGCCTCAGCAAGTCATGGAAACTGCTTATCTCATCCCTGAAAGATCACAGGGAGCCTCCCTGGGTTCTCCACTGGGCCTGTGTGGCCCTGCCCTCTCCAGGCCCCCATTTATCTTAAACCTTATTTTCCTAGCCTTCCTCCTGTCTACCCACAAACCACAGTTCTCTGTGCACCTTACACCTATGCTTACCCTTTCAAGGGGCAAACCTAGTCCACTCTTCAATCTCCCATTGGTTTGTCCTGGTTCTTATAGAGCCAATGGGAGCTGATGGGTTGGCTTACAAGGTCCTTTCAACATCTATATAACCCCACATTTTCACAAGCCACATGCTTTGCTTGCTCCCTGCTTCAGGCTGGTTTCTTGCATGGCTTACTTTTCAATTCCAAAGATGGAAGCGACATATTCCTGCGAAACGTGGGGCAACTCTCAGTGGACTATACAGCATTATATCCCAGAAGATACAACTCTTCTTTGTAAAGAACATCAGTGATTTAACCTACTGAAATGGATTAAAATTGCAGAAAGAATTTTTACCAAGCATCTCACTGTGTCGTAAGAATATGTCTCACTCCTCCTAACATGACTTTGAGAATCTTCCTCAGTTACATAAGGAAAATGATGGCATTACACAGGACATGATTATTTCTCCCCAATCTTTGCTGTTTGTACACAGATACATAATAATTTATCATCCACTATCTCCATAATCGAGCCAGAGATTGTAATGTATGTAATATGAATAAAGTTAATATTGTATTATTAGAACTCAAGCTGTTATAAAATGAGAAGGCTGAAATTTTCATACATGAAATAAAAACAAATGAAAATACAGTACAACATAATCTAAGTTATTTTCCCATGATCCTCCATAGCAACTAATTCACAGAACTGAAAGTATAATTCATGAAAATGGAACTTTATTAAATAGCAAAAATATAAAATTACTGTAGCTTAAGTTATGCCAAAGCTTCAAATCATCACCTTCTGGCTCTCAATTCCTCCAACTAAGTCTTCTCTTCACAGACTAACTCACAACTGAGCTTGTCAAAGATGAAGTTACTTTATTACTGGCAGTTTACTGCCTAGCAGTTCATCTTGGTGCCAAGCCCTTTAACACTCACAACCAGAGATTTTTTCCAACTGAATCCTTGTGGTCATAGTCCTTATGTAACATCCTCTTTGGCAGGGGGATGGGTTTGTCTCTTATGAATAGGCTTCTCTCCACCTTTGTCAAGTGTACATATCACATTATTGAAAATTCTTCCTTGTGCACTAAATATATATCCTCTGTCAGTACAAGCTTTGCAAAGCAGTCATGCCTAGGTTACATATCTTATGCTACAACGGCAGCTTAGTCACTTGAACGGTTGTAAGCCTGACTGCTGCCAGCTTAAGCCTCTTGTATTTTCTATGTCTGGCTTTGCCTTGTCCTGTACTTCATATATGTTCATTCTCACAATTCTGTATGACTTCTGCTTGTTGCTTGCACAAGTTTGTTATGTAATTATATACATATGGAAGGTTGAAAGCCATGTGCAAATCGCAGACCAGTGCACACCAATGATGCAGAGAACCTTGTTTTGTGGGTGCTGCTCTTTTAAGTGGTAGATGTCTGCCATTCTGCCATTAGTTAGTTGCTCCAAATCATCCCGGTTTTAACATCTTGGTACAGACTGCAGAGAAAACACTGTTCCTTTATTGGTGTTCAGTTGTTGCTTATTAAGAATCTGCTGCCTAGCAATGGTGTTGTTTCAGGGTTCACTCCGCGTTCACTGCCTAGTAATGGGTCTACATGCTACATTATAAGCAACTTATTTTTGTCACTTCAATTATTCTACAGACTGATAAAAAAGGTGATCATCTGTTCCAAGGCAGTCACACTTAACAGAAAGGAAACCCACAGAATTCTGCTTACTGCCGACTTTTTGTTGGAGTTTCACTTGACTTAACATTCAACCCTGAAGATGGAGGCAGTAAGTTCCTCCAAAATGTTGGTGGACTTCTACTACACATCCCAGAAGAGAGTGCCCTTAAAGATTTGTTATGTACGTTTCGTGCAGGGGACTGTAAAGTAATACGGAGGAAATAATTTTCCAGTCTGCCAGACATCTTCAAATACAATTTAAAGACAACAGTATTGTCAGACATGCCCTTAAAGGTTAATTTATGAGTACTATACTCAGCCACTCGGCTAATGTACAGACATTAAATGCTTAATCTTGCAGCCAAGCAAATTGGCTGAAGCAGTGACACTTTTGACTTGTACTCAGGAGATGCTTAGTATGATTCTGCTGGGACACTAACTATCCTGAATACGGTTTCTGTGGTCTTCCTCAGGCCCTCCAAACAAATGCCAGGATAGTATCTAAAATTAATCAATAATTATCTTATCATCTGATGCTACAGTCTGAGGTTTCACACAACACATTTAAACAATTCACAAATAAATAAACTTAACTTGAAACAAACAAATGGCTAAGCTATCATCTGCTCCATACTATCTGTCCCTCAGTAGGATGTGAGGAAATGCTTCCACCAGCAGATGTAGGCGTATAAATGTACCCTCCAGAAGCTCAACTTACATGTTTCCACTCTTGGCCCTCCTGTTGCACTTCATGCTTCAGTTTCTCCAGCTTGAGGGGCAAAAGTTTCACCATATCTTCACACACTGCCAACTCAACAGATACGTACTTTTTAGCACCTTCATCATTTCTGCAGTAATCCACAAGGAACTGTTGAAAAATTAACGATATTACTATGTTTCACTTAAAAATGCATATATTTTTGATAATCATATATGAAACTTTGTGTGCAATGAATGTAACTGTTCTACCATTTCAAATACTCTGTAAATGTATGATTGAAAACACTTGACTTCCTCAATCTGTGATCAGCCAAGTACTCCCTGGTCAGGGCTAACACACAGCTCAGAGGACAGTGACAGATGTGTATGGAATGATTAGCAAGGAAAATTCACAGAAACTGGGGGGGGGGGATGTGCTCCAATGCCACCTTATCAATCTCATGAGAAGTGACATGGGAGTCAATCCAACGCTCCACATCAAGAATCATCTGAGCTGTGGCATGGCATAAACATATATGCATTCCTGTATGTGCGGCTTATGCCTCCATCTAGTGTTTACCTGTCCCAGCATCTTCCTGCTTGGTCAGGAGCAGGCAAGAGTGACACCAACAAGTAGACAGGATTTCCACTGAACTCTCAATAATCGGATCATAATGAAGATCATGGGGACAGCAGGCAGCAGGGGCCTACAGCTCCATGCAAGCTCTGAACCATCACGCAAATCTTATTAATCCCCGGAGATGCGAGATTTTAGTTTTGTCAGAAGAGAGGGAGGGGCAGACATGTGTAGAACCTGCAACATGTCCACCTCTATTCAAACCTGAGACTTTGATATTATAAATGTAGGAACTCCACATTGTAACAACATACGCAGATCAATTTGTGGCAATAAATGGTACAAGCAGTTAAAAACCAGTTTAATGCATCAAACTTTCAAATGCTACATTTGTATTTCACTTATATGTGATGTAGTTTCAGAACCTTGCTGTTCTTTAAGAGAGCAGAGCCTACAATACGAAAAACACACAAGAGAATGACGAACATTGGTGATGCAGTTAGTGAAATTCAATGTCAAATATGTCTGTTGCTCTGTATGCATCTCTTGCTTCATATTGAGGTGTTTCCAGTTTTTTAAATATTGGACCAGACCATAACTATCTTGACAGAGGTTTTAAGGGGTTTTCTTAAGTCCCTTCACGCAAACACTAAGTTGGTACCTAAATTTATGCCACAGCTGGCCCCTCCACATTCTTCCCAATTAATTACTCATTAGTTATCCTACCATATAAGAGGAGCTGCATCACCAAATAAACAATAAATACGAGGGGTATTTGGAAATTAACATCCGGGGAGCTGTTAGCAAAACAAGCAATGAGAAAAATTTTTTTATTATATACAAAAAGTACATACATACTTAAGCTATTTCTCAAGAGTCACCACCAGAACTGAGGTACTTGTATGCCTGTGAACTCAGCCACGGTTTGCATTGCAAAACACATTAAATAAACTGCACAGGGTCGTTCAGAACAAATGGTGTGGAATGCTAACATCCAGTTTAGTGCTCCTCCATGACAATGCACATCTCCATACAGCTGCTCACACTCAAGCACTGCTGGATCATTTCAACTGAGAGTTGTTTGACCACCCTCCTAACAACCGTGATCTCGCTCGAAACAACTACCACCTGTTTACCTACCCGAAGAACTGGGTGCGACCACAGCACTTCAACAGTACTGAGTTCATGGAAGGCGCCAAAACACAGCTGAGCTCAAAGGCAGCAGACTTCTCTGAGAAAGGCATACAAAAACTTATTCCCCAATATGACAAGTGCCTCATTTCCAGCAGAGCCTATGTTACAAAGTGGCTTAAGTATGTATGTATTTCTGTGCATAATAAAATTTTCTCATTGCTTGTTTTGATAACAGCTCACCAGAGGTTATTTTCTGAATAATCCTTGTAAGTAAGTATACATGTATTAAGTGATATATCAACTCTTTGATTGTTGCTACTCCCAAGTGAGAATATCTACAGTTACAGACTTGTTCTTTGTTTCAAATGGCCCAATCATGTAGCGCTATAGGTTAAAATGCAATGGAGTTAGGTCTGGAGACTGCTTTCCAATCTTCACCCTTCCTAGCTGTCACACTATATGAAGTCCATTCAGTAACCTGGGGGCCAACAGCTGCACATTCTGTCACACCCAGCACAACACTGCTACATACCTGGTAGGCATCCAGGCTCTTTCCCAGGTACTGAAGCTGCACCACCTTGTCTGGTGTGACAATCTTACTGTACAAGCGACCCACACGAAAGTATGCAATCAGCGCTGGTCTGAGCACATCCTCATTCAGCCTAGCAGGCATCTTCTTCGTGCTGCAATTAAACAAAACAAGTGTTCCACAGAATTAACATCATGATCTTCACCAGGGATGTGACACCATGTACACCTTCATGGCTTATAGTTAAGCATGGGGACAACTTTACCTTTTACCTTTTTGAATAACAATACCACAAAAAATTTGTTTTTTTTTTTTGGTGCAAAGAAAAAACTTGCCTTGCATCTCTGAGTGATTCAATGAATTTACTGAAGTTGCTGATGCTCTGTTGAGCAAGATGATTCACTTTCCATAATGCATGTGGTGTGGGTCGCTCATCTGTCATCTGCAATCTCTGTAACTTAATATCCAGGATATCTGAATACGTTTCACCCAGTTCATACCAGAGCTGTCTGCACACCAGCAAGTAGTACTGAGGGTTTAACTCCTTCAAAACAGACTCCAAGTGATCTACGCGTCGTTTGTGCATTCGACTCTGCCTGGAATAGAAGAATTATGTGAGCTGAACCATTTCTGCAATTGTTCTACAACATGTGAGATCTGGTTTGGATTCAGGAACAAAAAAACTATGCTGAAACCTTAATAAAAATCACAAAGCGCTGGTGCATCTCATCTGTTTCATCGCTAATTAATTTCAGCAGTCCTCACGCAAACATTATATTTATGATATGATACTGTACCACTGTATGTTTCAACCTTTCATCAGTCATCACTGGGTTGGCCATGTGCATTTCCCTCGTTGGTTCAAATATTTTCTTCTGCAGCCTATTCTCAAATACCCTCAGTCAATGTTCTTCCCTTAATGTCTGAGACCAATTTTCACACCCATACAAAACTATAGGCAAAATTGTGGTTGATTTTTAAGTTTTTAAACAGCAGACAAGAGGACAAGTTTCTGAGCTGAATGGTAATAAGCATTATCCAAAATCAATCTGCTCTTAATTTCCTCACGAATTAAATTTTGATCTGTTACTGTCATTGCCAAATAATAAAAAACAAGCAACATAATTTAGCGAAATAAACATCCCATGCTAGTTCTTGTTTCCACACTGTATAGGTGTTATCCTGTGCAGTCTTCCTGTGTGCATGCCGCTGTTATTCTTTACTACGCTGCAGCACTTTAGACATAGGGCGAGTAACCCTAACAATTTTAAATTTAAAATTTAGAGAAAAAAAAATTTTAAAGGATTTTAAAATTAGAACTAAAGATTTTATAGTGCTACTACAGGTACGTCAAAATTAACGTGTGTAAAATAATCTACATCCAGACAGATATCAACGAAGTAGATGTTGATAATAACAAGAAAAGTGTTTTAAATGTTAAATTTTGGGCTGAGTGCAGTGTGACAGCGACGTGAGTGTTATACACCTGATGATGGCCGTCTGAGGCCGAAACATGTAGTGTAGGTGAACAAGATCAAGGACACATAATATATTGTTTGCACTTGGTGACGGAATTTGTATCATTATATCATTTATCGTATGGAGTGCAACAGGATGCTTAAATATAATATTATAATAAAACTACATTAACCAAATATACCTATCAGATTAACAGCCAATTTGGAGAATGACCCTGCACATGAACTCATAAAATACTGAACATAAACATTAGGTAAAACCTACACCTTCCATGCAACTGAACCGTTATTTACCCGGACTGTAACCAGTCCGAAATTTCAGGAGAGGGAAAGGGGGAGGAGTTTATTCACTTGTTGTTGTGGGAAATACACGCACAATTCGAGAGCAATGCTGACTGAGTTTAACAATACAAAAATATAATAACGAAATAAATATACATTAACAATAATAAAGGAAATAAAACATATGATATATATACAAGAAACGATATTACAAGAAACCTAGCATGACCCACTCCGGTCATTCAAGCCAGTACCTTTCTCATGGGGCACCGCCCATTTAATTTCACCAAGCAAGAAAAGAAAAAAAATAATAATACTCACATGTGTATACGTAGTCACAGGGTACCCATACGTATATATTTATAAAAAACACCTTTGCCTCGCCATTGCTCCATAGCTCAGCAAAGGGGCCCTCTCCCGGGACACACCGCGCTGACTTCCAAAANTGGCTGTGGTTGACTGCAATCCCACGACGCCTTTCACGGGGCGAACCCTTTGAATCGTCTTCAGACGGTTCAGGATCTCCCCCTCTCCCGGCGCACTCAGCTCTATCACGGCCTTAGCATCGTCCACCACCCAAAAGTGTCTCCACCTAATGTTCGTTGGGGGTTCACTCATCACACCGCACTTCCACAAGGGAGGGGGGCAAGTTCAGTGTGAGGGAGAAACACCTCCCCACAGTCCACACCCTTGGCGTCACCACTCCCTCCGTGCCACGTGCACCACCAATAATCCGAAGAATCCTTCCTCTTGAGGCGCAGCATCGAACCCCAAACGTATGTGGATTTAAAGATGCCGGAACGCATCTACGATGGACAGAGCACTCTCCGACCGCCCCGGGCCCTCGAGAAGTCGGAGGTACGTAGCAGCTTTTGAGTAGAGCCACCAGCGTCCACAGCCAATTCAGGAAGGAAAGAAGGGAAAGATGGAATAATCTAAAACACACCAAAAAAATCTTACAGACACAGCGCACCGTCCCAAGAGACAGACCAAAAGAAACTCCAAGACAATTGCATGACAATAATCAAGCTTCAGCCACCGACTCTAACCATCCGCAAAATACCTTTTAACCTGGGAAACATGAGCCTTCGCTAATATTGCTCCCGTGTCGGGATTTGCCAATTGAACCGTAACAGGCGTCAAAAACCTTACAATAACATACGGTCCAGACCACTTAATAGCTATTTTGGCCGATTGTTGTAAAACCTTAGAGCTCTGGGGATGTCGTTTTACTAGGACTAACTCTCCAGGGCGAAACACAACCTCACTCCTCAACGCATTATAACGTCTGTCAACCCTATCCCGGGCTCGCTTTAAGTTAGTCAGAGCCCTTCCCCAGAATTTCTTTGTGTCCTGAGGGGACTGCTGTAAATCTAATTCAGACAACTCCCATCTTAACCCCAATGGATGGTTCAACTCCCGTCCTAGGAATAGGAGAGCTGGGGTCGCACCCGTACTCTCGTGCCAGGCGGTGTTAAACGCCACAGCGAGAGTCGGTAAATTTTCATCCCAGCGGGTATGTTGGGAGTGATGGAAGATAGTCAGGGCTGCCTTCAGATTACGATTAAAGCGTTCTACCTGCGAAGCCTGGGGGTAATAAGGTGAAATAGTGACATGTTTTATCCCACAGGAAAAGCAGGTATTGTAAAACAATCGGGAGCGAAAAACCGCGGCATTGTCCGAAACAATACAGTTAGGAATCCCAAAACAAGGGAAATATTTCCCCACTAAACAAGCCACCACCACGTTCGATGTGATCTTTCTCACGGGGTACATGGCCACAAATTTGGAAAACCCGTCCAGGACAACCAAGATAGCCAGGTTGCCCTGACGGCTCCGAACAAGAGGACCAACGAAATCTATAAAGATACGCTCCATTGGTTTCGTGACGACATGGCTATTATGGAGGCCGACCCGTGTATTTTGAGCCGGCTTAGCCCGCTGACACGTCACACGTCCTAACGTACTTCGTCACGTCAGACCGGATATTCGGCCAATAGAAAACCTTGCAAATCCGCCGAAGGGTTTTTGTCACTCCTAAGTGGGCGCTTAAAGCCGAATCGTGAAAATACTCCAAGAGCATCGGCCGCAAATCGAGAGGAACTAAATAAGCCTTAGATTTGTTTCGCGGAGATACATACACAATCGTGTCGTTCAGCAGCCTGAAGTTACGAACCGCCGGATCTTGTCTCTGGACCTTATCATATACATCCCGGCAGAACTCATCCTTAATCTGGTGCTCCCTTATCGATTGAAAGGCGGCCGGCAAATGCTGAAGAACCAACCCGGAGAACAATTGCTCCTGGATGTCTTCAAATTGCCGGGTCACACAATCCGCCACCACGTTGCTCTTGCCCGAGATATGCACAGTTTTAAATTTATAGGGGGCAAGTCTCAAAATCCACCTGCCTATCCGGCCAAGTTCTTTTACATGCTTTAATAGCCAGGACAATGCCTGGTTATCAGTATGGAGGGTGAACTCCTTATGTTCCAGATACACGCGAAATCTTTCGCATCCCCAGACCACTGCAAGACATTCCTTTTCGTGAACGGAGTATTTGCGTTCTGCACCGGTGAGCAGCCGGCTAGCGAAGGCTATAGGAGCTAGCCCCTCCTCGCGCCGTTGGTTAAGAACGGCCGAGACGGCCACCTCGCTAGCATCGCATACTAGCACAAACTCCTTCGCGAAATCGGGAACTTGCAGTACGGGGGGCGTGGAGATGGATGACTTAAGTCGTTCAAACGCCTGCCTCCGAGGCCCATCCCACACGAATGCCGCATTCTTCCGCTTTAACGCGTGAAGCGGCTCTGCCAACTGCGAAAAGTCTTTAACAAAATTCGCGTAAAAACCCACCATCCCGAGAAAACGGCGCACCGCCTTCAAATTCTTCGGAGGGGGGAACTGGGAGATCGCCTCAACCCTCTCAGGCAAAATTTTAATCCCTTCAGAAGATAACGAGTGGCCCAAAAACTTTATCTCGGACTGAGCCAACTCTACCTTATCCCTGTTTAAGGTAAACCCCGCCTTCTCGAGGCGCCGAAATACTTCCCGCAAATGATCTAAGTGTTCTTCCAAGGAGCGGGAGTATACTACCAGATCGTCCATGAAATTATACACATAAGCGTGTTTCAAGTCGCCGAATAAGGAATCAACAACGCGCGAGAGCACTTGGCACCCCACGCTGATTCCCATCGGTAACTTTGTAAACTCAAAGAGACCGAAGGGTGTACAAAAAGCAGTGAGCTTCCGGCTCTTAGCGGACAGTGGGATCTGGTAGTATGCGGAGTTGAGATCCAACACCGAAAAAACCTTCGCCCCTTGGAAGTTAGCAAAAGCATGCTCCACACTGGGCATTGGGAAAGCATCGAAAACTACTTTCTTATTGAGAAGCCGGTAATCGATAACCATTCTGTACCCGCCCTGAGGTTTCGGAACTAAAAATGCGGGGCTCGCATACTGCGAGAAACTCTTCTTGACCACCCCCTTGTCCAGCAAATCGAATACGATTTCACGCAGCGCCTGCAGACGAGGGGGGGAACACTGATAGGGACGGGAACGAACCGGAATGTCGTCTGTCAGATCTATCTGACAGACCATTCCCTTCACCGTCCCTAATTGATCAGAGAACAAGTTAGAGAAACTCTGTACAAGCTGGTCAAGCTTTCGCGACCCCGACACACTCAGGAGGGAGATATGGACACCCATTTTCATCAAGGCCCTTTCCGGACAAGGGAAAGTGTGATAATACTCTTCCAGGAAGCATAGAGGTTCGAAATCGTACCGGCAAGATTGCTGAAAGGCAAATGCGTATGACAATGTCGCAAAATCTAGTCGCATCTTGGCAAAAGCTAAGAAATCTGCTCCCAGTATGCACGGCACCGGAGAATCCTCCAAAATTAGGAATTCGTATTTCCAAGAGAATGAATGGAGTTTTATTTGCAGCGAGACTGCCTGAGTGATCGCACAGCTCTGGCCACCAGCCATGCGAAGATTACGATCCGTCGCGTGTACACGACACGACAAGCCGAGGCTATGCATACGGTCTACAACGTCTCGTCTGACAAATGAAAAAGAGGACCCCGAATCCAGAATGGCGGGCAAACAATAATCCCTTACCGTCAAAATAACCCAAGGATTACACTTTACTGGCTTCACTGGGGAAACTCGGTTCCGAGGTTTTTCACTCACAGGCACTCGGACCTCAGACAACCTTCTCTCTACCGAGTGCCTCTGTCGTTTCCCCCAATTGCCTCTCCGACCGAAACGTCGGAAGATGGGCAGTCCTTTTTGAGATGACCTCTACCAGAACACTTCCAACATTTCGCGGAGTTAAGCCCAAATCGACGGGTCTGGCCAACCGCCATACTGACTGGCCGAGACCCACGACTTCTTTGCTGAACCATATCAGTAGACCCGCTACGTTCCGCCCGGATCCTCCGCTCTTCAATCGCCCGGCCTTCAGCCACTTGGCCCGCAAGCGCATACAATTCCTTGATGGAAGTTGGCTTGTGCAAAAAAACTAACTGAGAGCGCACATTAGGATGAATATTTTGTACTAGGCGGTCGACTAACGCCGACTCCGGCACGTCATAATCAAGAATATTTGCCGCGGCAACTACCGACATAATATATTTCGACAAATCCTCCGCCACAAAATGAAACCGCTCCAGGACATATTTGGTTAGAAGGCCTTCACGGATACGAGGGGGAAGGAAAGTCGACCGGAGTTCAGAACGAACCACACCCCAATTTGCAGACGCACTTAAATGGCCACTAATTATCTGTGTGAACCTCCCAGTCGTCCTAGCAACCAAGAGAGCCAAAAATTCCTCATCCGTAACAAGACCCAAGTCATAGACTTCGCTTGCCCGGATAAGGAATTGAAGCACCGCCTCCGGTTCCGCATCGGACAAAACCGGGATACCCTTCACCAGATCGGTGACCACTTTAGCCCTCAATTTAATCTGAGAATAAGTAACATGGCCCTGCACACTACTAACTCTACTATCACTACTCTCTCCTGTGTGCATGGCCACATCAGACTTATCTGCCCTTTGAGGAGGTAGGTAGGTCTCCAGAACTTTCCATTTCTCCTTCACTCGTTTACGTAGCTCGTCCAAAGTGCCCTGTACTGGAACACTCAACTCCACCGCCAGTCTCTCGGCCTCTTCTCGCGAAAGATCATGGATCCATTTCAGCGGCATGATGAATGCATGTAACCCACAAATAACGTACTAAGTATTAGATTGCATACTTAAATAACTAACAAGCAAATCCTGCACAATTCCACACAAGGTAGTACAATTGCGCAAATACCGATTTAACAACAGTCAAACCACGCTCTGCTACCATTTCTTCTCTCCTCTCTCCTCTCTCCTGTGAACCGTTATTTACCCGGACTGTAACCAGTCCGAAATTTCAGGAGAGGGAAAGGGGGAGGAGTTCATTCACTTGTTGTTGTGGCAAATTCACGCACAATTCGAGAGCAATGCTGACTGAGTTTAACAATACAAAAATATAATAACGAAATAAATATACATTAACAATAATAAAGGAAATAAAACATATGATATATATACAAGAAACGATATTACAAGAAACCTAGCATGACCCACTCCGGTCATTCAAGCCAGTACCTTTCTCATGGGGCACCGCCCATTTAATTTCACCAAGCAAGAAAAGAAAAAAAATAATAATACTCACATGTGTATACGTAGTCACAGGGTACCCATACGTATATATTTATAAAAAACACCTTTGCCTCGCCATTGCTCCATAGCTCAGCAAAGGGGCCCTCTCCCGGGACACACCGCGCTGACTTCCAAAACTAAATTTAATTTTGAAGAAAAAAAAAAGGAAACCAAACAGAAATTTCTAAGAGCAGGGACAACCACCCTGCACGACCGCCACCCAGGGAAAGAGAGCGATCGTTCGTGTCATCTTGCCACGACAAGAGGAGGAGGAAGGAAAAAAGAGGGGAGGGTCACGTGACATCTTTAAAAAGAACATTACAAGAAATATATGAGCATTGGCTGTGGTTGACTGCTATTCCACGACGCCTTTCACGGGGCGAACCCTTTCAATCGTCTTCAGACGGTTCACAACATCAACAATTCCATCCATTTAATTACAGAATTACAAAATATGGACATTACGGAGAATCCTAGAATGTGCTCACGATGATAAGAAAATTTACACAAATATACCAAAAAAAGATACCATAAATATAATCCACACCACACTATCCAATAACTCAGACATTAACCAGAACATTATAGATGAAACAATAAACACACCACAAGTAACCCTTGAACAAAACTATATCTGATCTATCCAATCCATATGTATCTGGAAGGACTGAGTAAAGCCATGAAATGAAAACTTCAGCTGATATAACCACTCTCCAGGCTTAAATTCAAATCCAGACCATACAGAAAGAGTATATTTCTTACAAACTGCCATCTATAATAATATGATGAAATTATTTCCTTCAGTCGGCAGGAACATTCATTTCAAGTGTTCTTTATGAAGCAGAAAAAAAAAAAGGAATGCTTTATGTGGAGGATGTTTGTATGTATGTGACCTAGTATCAGCACCAAAACTGCTGGATAGATATTTCTGAAGATAGATATGACAGACTTATACTAAAAGTTGTCATATCATTTCAATTTTTAGCCATATTCATCCATAAAAAAGCCTGATTTGCTTAGCATCATAATGGGCATTCCATGTATCCCATGAATGCTTTTGCAGATTTTGTTCAAATTGATATGGAAAACATAAACCAAAAAGTGTTATGATAGTCTGATTTTGAGCCACACTGGATCATAATAAAGCCCGGTTTGCATGAAGCCATGAATGGAGTTTTCCATGTGTGTCTGAACATCAGACCTTGTGTGACTGTTAAGCAGATACATCTTTCCAATAATTTATTCCACACCATATCATGTTCTCACACCTTCAACATCTTGCACCATGCAATATTAGCAGCAAACAGATTACACCTAGTGTTCATGTGTGCGCACTGTCACAATACTAACAGAGATTACACAAGAACATTAAATTCACTCCATACTCCTGCTAATGTCCATGGTAGCCATGGCTGTTAAAGCAATGTGCAAGTATAGTCGTAGAGTCTTTTGAAATGATTTAAACCCTCATTCCAGATCTTTTCATTTCAATTCATTACGCATACTCTACTTCCTTAATCTAACCATTACTCCTGCTTTAAGTTATACTTCCCACATAATGTGGTGCTGACAAAGAAAACAACTGAAGACTAGTACTTCTACATGTTATGTCACTTCCTAACATCATACCTTTTTTCATCCTCTTCGAAGAAAGCCAGGTATTTATATAACTGACTGAGATCCTGGACAATCTGAACACAATCTGAAGCGTGTTCATCTAAAGTATAATACTGTTTAGCCTTTGCTAACCACTTCTGTGCATCAACAAAGACCTTCCGTGCATCTTCATATACAAGAATATGTTTGTCTGTTATCTGATCTTCATAACATGACAATTCCAATGATGTAAACCATAAATGTTTCACATCACCTGTACAACAGATTGCATTAATATTATCCATTTGTTCCATTCCTGCAGTACACATTTAGAATGAAAAGTTTTCAAAGAAATCAAATCATGACTGTATTTTAAAAGATAATGTTAAGTAGGTTCCTTGTCACCAAGGCATGGACCATCCTCAGGTTGCAGATGGAGAAAGCCTCCAGATATGAAGCATACTTGCAAATATATTGAATATGCAGTTGTGGAGAGCCAACAATGGATGGGTCTCCATCCTGGAGGATGGGCATGGAGATAACACCACCACTTTGTAAAAAAAATGCTTCTTACAAAATGTTACAAAGGGCCTCACACTTGGATGGAGTTTTTGGATAAACAACCTAAGCTAACAAGATGGATGTCAGATTTGGTATGTGAAATGTAAGAAGTCAATAGAGGGCAGGTTTGCTCATAAGAGTTGCAAATGAAATATCAAAATATAAGTTATGTTTGGTGGGAGTACAAGAGGCTAGATGGGGCAGAGGTGGCACTGAACCAGCAGGTGAATACACATTCTTCTAGGGAAATGGGAATCATGAATTAGGTACATGTTTTTGTATATATAAGAATCATAACAGCAGTTAAGAGGGAAGAGTTTGTTGGCAATAGGATGTCAGACATAATACTAAGAACTCACTGGTAATATTATTGTTCTGAATATTCATGCCACAACAGGAGACAAAAATGATAATATGAAGGACAGCTTCTATAAAGAACTAGAACGTGTCTTCGATAAATTCGGTGATTCTTGAGTTATTACTTGCAGACACATGTGGACGCATGAAGGAATTGTCCTTAAACTAGTCACAGAATAAACATTCCTTGCTGTGTACGGTTGGAGCTAACAGATAGGAGGGCCTAATCAGGATAGTTCTAGCAATAGCAGTTGTGTGAGTGCTTGAGCTGGCTCAAGTTGTATCCTCCAAGTCTCCAAGTCAATACCAGTACGAAGCTTAAGTGGATGAAAACATAGAGCATCATGCGAACTTAACTCAACTATTACCTAATTCTTCAGTGTTTGAGTTTGATGTTCCAGATGCTTCTTCCTCATTTTCATTCTCTTCTGACATTAGCCGTTCCCTTGAGTTTGAAAGCAACATTAAACCATATTTGGCCCAGCACCTTGCAACATCAGCACTGCGGTGTCTCAACCTCTCTCTCCTGCATGCAAGATAAAACACAACTTCAGAATTTTGGAATCACAGAAACAGCAACAAGGTGTCCATTACTGGGCAACATATCTACTGCAACAAATACAAGCACAGTTGGAGGCACATCAGAATCAGCAGGACAGTCTGCAATGAGGGAACACTGATGAGAACATGTGTGAGGACAGAGTACTCAGGGACCAAGTTAGGGGAGCAAACCAAGAGTGGTCTAATAGCCTGTGAACCATTGTGAAAACATACAAACAGCTGTAGATAAGAATGAGCATCAAATAAATCCATTTCCAACCTGAACCTGTAGTTACCAGCAGTTAAAACCACATATAATTAAAAAAAATTATATCAGTGACAGCCCATGTAAATCTTCTCTGAAAACATTACTTGTGCATGCAAATCTAATGCAGCAACCACTAGTCTGTCACAGGTAACAACGAACCAGGAAAAGTTTACAGTTCATTGCATACTGCATATGAAAATACTGATGAAAAGTTTGATTTGTTTCATTCTGGTCCGTCACACTAACAATTACAAATATAAATCACTCCGTCCAATGTGACTTGTAAGTTTTTTACTACATGAAAACTTAACACCCTTACATGTTTCGGTCTCTGTGGACCATCTTCAGAGGGCAAACATCACTACAAATAGGAAACCACCATCACATAAGTTGTTTAGACGTAAAGTATGTACACTTATATGCTACAATACATAGTACACAAAATAGACATTTCACATTTTCCAAACACAGCAGTTTCCTGATGAAAAGGACAGAAACTGAAATAGTTTGATCCTGAACAGTGCTATATCTTGTTATCAAGTAAAGACCTTTCCTAAACATTGTTCTGGCAGCACTATCTCACAAATTTCCTAATGAATAAATGTATTTTCTTAGGAAACATCATTATGCCTGAACCCTTCAATTAATGTGAAACCTGATCACAATCCAAACTTTCAGAACTCCTCTGCCTGGCCAAGTATATGGCTCAAAAACTGGACATTTTTACCCAATATCAATTAATAATTACAAAATTATTACGAATATTTTTCACAGGCACCCAAAACCTTTTGTAGGACACCAAGAGGCTCATGGACATACAGATGACAATCCCTGCTCTAGTGTAACCTAAAACTGTAACTCTTTCTCTTGAAGTCGAACCACTTCTTTTCCTCTTTTCACACTGTACAAGCAAAAGCATGCATTCCAATTTCAGTACTTGCACTTCACCACCCTGTAAACTCCATCCATATATTAAAATTCACACTTCAAGCCACTTTGTCTCATCTTGTTATTAATTTAACACACATGTTTCAACCTGACTAGCCATCATCAACTGCATAAGACTAGATGAAAACTGCTGCTGTTACTTGCAAAATGCAAAATACAACAATGTAACAACAGAGGAGCAGTTTTCATCTACAGTCTTACACACCTGATGATGACCAGTTGGGCCAAAACATGTAGTGTTATATAAGTAATAAGAAGAGACAAAGAGCCTCAAATTGTGAATTCAATATGTCGATGGAGTTGTAGAGACAGTAAAGTGAGACACTTAAAACTGGAATACACAGTGCAACAGAATACTTTAGTACAATATAAAACCCACACATTGTTACAGACTGTCAGGACTAACTAGGAATAACATACTTAGCTTCAAATGTTTCATCATTCCCTTCTTGCAAATTGAGATCACTTTCATACTGGTCCAGAATATAGGATGCTGCAGCCAAGTGATGTCGTGCTTGAGAAAATCCATTCTTCTCCATAAAGAATTGAGACAAAGTGGCTGAATTCAAGGCCCAATCAACAGGATCAAAGTCTTTACTTTCCAACTGCCTCTTTAGCGTTGTGTGACAGTAAGCAGCAGATTTGACATGATCATTTAAACTGCCATGGACCTGTGCTAGATAATACATTGTTAGAGTGTAAAGTCTCTCCAACATGTTCTCCGTATCGGGTTGTGGCATTTCAGGACTAGACGTTCGAAACAAGTCATGAAAGGGCACTGCAGCTGTTGAGGATGATAAATGTGCTGTGAACTCTTCATATAACTTCTCAGCTCTGTCCAGGTATTCCTTGGATTTCTGTGGATCGCCTCTCTCTGACCACAGTATACCTAACTGATTCAAGGCAGTCATCAGAATAAGGATGATTTCAGGCTTCAGAGCATCATCACACAAGCTGTCCACACAATTCATCAGCTGTTCTTCTCCAGTTGATAGCTCCTCAGTGTCAACAGAAACCAGTCCAAGATTTAGTGAAACAACTCCAAGCATTGCCTTGAATTTTAAGCAATCTGAATCTTCAACCAGTTTTACTAATATAGATTTCATATCAGTGAGAATTACACTTGCAGCATATTTAGACTTATAAGGTTCACTGGGTGGATCCCTCTTACTGTCCTCATCCAAGAGCTTTCGCACCTTGTCATATTTTTCCTGAAGATCAACCAAGACCTCCTTGTTCATGCTGTGTGTAGCCATAGCACACAGTGTAACCTGTAAGACAATGTATTTTGAATATATAACCATTCTTAATAATATTATGTCTGAGCATTCTGTTGCAATGATGTATCACTTGCTCATTCATTTCCACCTCTAAAGCAACCTAAAACTGTTCACTATCTCTCTTTTATTTAAAATGACATTAAAATTACATCAGTTGCTATCTGTTTCCGCCCTAAGTGGCCATCTTCAGGAAACTGTTCACATACTGAAACTGTCTTTATTCTCAAACAAACACATTTTAGTGCGAACAACATGCAATAGCACGGAATACATTAACTTATGATCTAGTGCAGTGCAACAGTTTCAATAAGTGAACAACTGCCTGAAGATGCCCAAGTTGGGCTTAAACATGTGGAAACTGATGTGCTTTTAATATAATTTCAAATAAAAGAGAGATGTTGAACAGTTTTAGGACGCATTAGAGGTGGAAATGAATACTTTCCTAGTATAATCAATTAGTGTTTTCCGTTGGTCTTGGAGTACAATGAACCCATTTGATCTGTTATTCACAATGAAGTCTGAGATATTAGCAAACTTATGAAGTTCTTCGGTCAGAAAAGACAAGTGGAAATTTATAACACCCACGTGAAGAAGCAACAAAATGTGCAGCAACAGCTACCAGACAAACAGAAGCAACTATATACAAAATAAGAGGTAACATGACAAGCATTAATACAAAGAAACTAAAGTTAAAAATCTTACAGCAAGTTCTAAAAGAATTAAACTTGAGCTGCCTGAATTATGTGTCATCAGAGAAAATGACAATTTTTATGCAACCGAAAAAGAAATTCAAACGATTAAACTGTATTAGTATCCTTACAAGAGGAAGAGCTATTTTCGAAGCAGCACTGAGGGAGATTGGTTTCATTTTTAAAAAAAGTAAAGAGGTTACATTTAACGGAAAATTACAGTACTGTACCATGCAAGGCCAGCTGTTTGAGATGAACTGACCTCAAACAAGAAACCTGTCACATTCCTAGATGAGAATCAGATTTGCTCACTGTATACTCAGTAAGTGCTACCAACAGTGTAAGACACATGGTGTTACAAAAATAGTGCTTGTCTGCACTGAAAAACAGTACACAGTGGCTCTGAAAGGTGGTTTGTTCTTTGAGCATACCTGATTTATAAGTCAAAGACAAAAGGGTTCCAATTTCCATGGCGAAGTAAATTTATAAATTAGTAAAAGTGTTCAGGAAATGCTTATATGCAATCATCCACTGAGTTGTATGATAGTTTTTAGTAATATTTATTAGAAGTGGTGTCTGTGATTGATGAGTGACAGCTGTGTCCACTTCACTCTCCGACCACAAACACAACACCCAACAAACATAGATTAGTGACAAAACTTCATCAAAAATTTGCATATAATGACACGCATCAATCACTCAACCTCCAGAGAACACATTCATTATAACTAATGCATATATATTCTAATATTTTAATAATTTAATAATATCTTATACACATAACGGCCTCTGTATGGATTAAGAGTGAATCAATGTTGTTAGTTGTTGCATTACTGACAGAAACAATAGACTGTAAGTGACAAGTCAATGCAACAGAATACTCAAATATAATATTATGCTACATACTTTAACTAACTTTTAACTTTTAACCCTTAACCCTCAACCAGGGGTTGATACAGTTAAACTTACAACATATGATATACCTGAGGGTGGCCATGTACAGCTGTAACAAGTGAATGAAATACGAGTGTGACACTAACCACACAGCCACTGAAACTTTTATTGAAGTTGCATTAACAACACTGAAAATAAATAGCTAAATAAATGGACCTTAATTTTTTGCAACTGTTATTCTGAAGATGGCTTATTTTGTATTTAGAAAGGAGAGAAACACAGAAATGTTTACAATAGACATAATGGATATCACAGATACTTAAGAGAGATTTAAACATATAAAATAAAATAAATAATGCATTCATTGACGAATCTAGATGAATGTGGGGTCAAAGTTCAGAAGGCCTGGAAAGATAAGATAAATACAACTCAGATATTATTTTCTAGCAGGACTATCCGCCAGGGCAAATACTCTCTGCTCATGGCACCATTGCCTCTTGCCTGCACCTGACTCTGACTAGCCAGTCCTCCAGTTTGCCCTGGTCCACATTCCACAACATTCCTACATAAACGACCCATTCCCCAACTTGGCCGACTACCACCCCAAAAAAGGAAGCTGCAGGTTTTTCTGAAATGCTGGTAACAACTTGCTAGACTACCTGGTGCCATTACCTGAAGAACCACAATGTAAATCCTTGCCACCTCATACATGACAGACCATGAAGAATCTGTGGAATATAAATAAATTATAATTCTAATCCTAACTTCATTTTTGAAACATTAAATGCAATTCCATTCTCTCACATGTAATTCCTATACTTTATTAATGCTATCATTACACAGGTCCTACACAATTTCAATTTTAGGTACAAGAGTAAAAATCTGCTAAGCTGATGCATTAAGAAAACAAAGATAATCTAAATCTGCCACAAACAAGCACTACACAATTAAAATAAACCCTGATATATACTATGGGGGGCTAGAACTGTATTTTTTCTTCTTTTTACCTTAACCAACTTTTAACAAGCTACAGCAATATTCCCTGGCAGGGATAAAACTTTTTTCCTTTCTCCACAAAGTTCACACCGGCTCAAGAGGCCACCCAGCCTATCAACTCGGTACCGGGGTTCTTCCCGAGAGGGTAGAGTGGCTGGGGCGTGAAGCTGATCGCTTACCTTCATCTAGCTATGGTTAAGAATGGTGGAGCTATACCTCCACTCATTCAAGTCTTCATGGCAGTGATTAATTAATTGCGCACAGGGATAACTCAATGTTTTCCTAAAAGTTGTGGAGTTAAGCATGATTAAGCATAATTAATACAGTCAAATGCCTTGCTAAGGCTTTTGACTGCGTTAATTATGAGATATTGACATCTAAACTAGAGTATTATGGTATCAGGGTTGTATATTAAACTGGTTTAAATCATATCTCTGGGATAGAAAACAGTGTGTGTACATCAAAACTAACGATGGTCAGGACTATTTTTCATCTTGGGAAAGAGTTAAACAAGGGGTTCCGCAGGAGTCGGTTTTGGGACCACTTCTGTTTATTATTTACATTAATGATTTGCCTCCATATATTAATAAATTGGCTAAAGTTTTTCTTTTTGCTGATGATACCAGTGTTTTGGTTACTGGTAATAATCATGATGAGCTTAAGCATAAAGTCAGGGGTACACTGTCTCTTATTATAAATTGGTTCACAGCTAATAAGTTGGCCTTAAATATCACTAAAACTAATATTATTAGGTTTGCTCTAAAACAGTCCTATAACTCTCTGGCAGCTGCTAGTGGGAATTTGTTTATAAATGAAGTTTCTGTGATAAAATTTTTGGGTCTGCANTTTGTGATTGATAATCAAATTAACTTTTGTTCAGGTTTAGATGTTCATGGTTTGAATACAAGAAATTGAAAGCAATTATATTTGCCAAACTCGAATCTTTCTGCTTTCCAGAAAGCTACTATGTTTACTGCTATTAAACTATTCAACAGATTGCCCATAACCATTCAAAGCCTTAAAGAGGATAGAATTAGTTTTAAAAATAGGCTGTTTTTATATCTTATGAATAATTCCTTTTATACAGTTTCTGAATATGTGGAGCATAACATAAACAATTAGTTTTAATTATTTTGTTATCTGTGTGTTTGTTTAAATTTGTTTTTATATCTTATGAATAATTCATTTTATACAGTTTCTGAATATGTGGAGCATAACATAAGCAATTAATTTTAATTATTTCGTTATGTGTGTGTTTGTTTAAATTTTCGTATGACGACCTTCATGTCCATTTGTTTGGACTTGTGAAATGAAATGTATGTATGTATATTCATATTTGAGAGGTAATCAGTTTAAAGTCCAATCGGAAATGACCTGTCCTGATGTTCGGTCAGTGCATGCGAATAGCTGCAATAACCGCAATAACTGCCTTTAAACACATCGCGTCCGCTTCACCATCTAACCCTACCACTATTTCATGCAGCTCGACAACACTCTACATAATCTTACATACCCTTCAACAATTCAAAAAGAAAACTACGTAATATTTTCCAGTCTTTTGATGCAACACAGAGTTTCTTCACCCACCTTATTTTTGAAAACGCGATTCGTAATACGAATGCTATGGGATGCAAATATGATTATGCTACTGCAAGTGTACCATTCATCACAGTACAGAAGTATAATTTCCAGAACTAAAAATCGTTCTTGGTCTCTAACCTTCCGCCTATTACACCATTTATCATAACTACATACACTAAAACACACTCTTAAACCGCTCGTATACAGTCCGATCCTTTATCTTATTAATGTATTGAAGTATTGAACATTCAACTCTCAAAGAGGTCAAAGAGCAAATTGCAATCTTGTCGATGCACATTTACAGCTTGTCTCCGATCCGCGATAGCAGGCGGCATTTGAAACGTCGATAGACGTCCATAACCACAAATAAAATGGCGTTTAATTTTTCTGCATTCTCATACATAATTGCTTTAATAGCTGATGCATTTTTGATATTCTTTGCTATCTTTCACGTATGTATTATATTTTTATAGTCCTGTATTTAATCATCAGTGTTCCAACAAGTTATGTTTTCATGACTTCTTGTTTTAAATAGGTTATATAAACACTTGATAGTGACTATAACCTATTATTTGATATGGGTGATTTTGTTTCAGGTTATAGCATTCGACGAACTGAAGACAGATTATAAAAATCCTATTGATCAGTGCAACAGTTTAAATCCTGTAAGTTTCAAGTTCAGTTAACTCGGACAGGTCATTTTTGCCTTTCAGAATATTAATATTTTGGGTGCTGGGGAAGAATAAACTAGGCCTGTACATCATTGTTCCAAGTTCTGGGCTAGGGGACCGTGGCCGTTCAGTGTCCATATCTGCTGTTTGCTTCCACGGCTTACGCCTCAACCCTGAAGATGAAGGCAGTATGATACTCCGAAAAGTGGTGAACTTGCACCTGATTACATTGCGTCACCCCGGGAGATAGTACTCTTCAAATGTAGTATTCACTTTGAATAGTTTTTTCTTTTTGTCATGTACTCATAAAATAAGACAGTTCCAAATTTAGTAACTTTTTGTTTCACATATAATACAGCTTATAGTTTGGATGTCAAAGTTTGCTCTTTGTACAGACATTACATCAAGATAGTACTATATATGTAACTGGTGTTGGGATATGCAATCAGCTGGAAGTGGAAAACTTTTTATAAAACTATGTTAGCCAGACAAATATTTTGGTTGCCAGAGAAAGATGGATTCATTGTGCTTGATGCACAACATTCATTTTTAAATGTGCACTGCTTTCCTAAACTTCTGCAGGCAGGGCATAAGATAATGGCAAAAGGAAAACTTAAAACAACTCCTCTCAAATGCTAAGGCACCCAAAATTTTTCATTCACCAGTGACAACCAGGTAACCATATTTCTCCATTCTAATGACTTATCCTTCTAGCTCATACCAAATTATTATGATTCTGTTGGATTTTACTGTATCTAAAAGACACTTGTAAGATTCTGTTTCTGAACAAGCACCTACATGATGTCCATGTAGACCATTTCAGTTAATTGTGTCAGAGAGCTGTAATCAGAAACCAACAACATAATCCAAGCAGCACTAATTACAACAATATATCTGACTGCTTGAATTCACATCTTTGTGAACACCATAACATATATTTGAGTAAGCTCAGTGCAATAAAATATTGATAGATTGAAACATCTCTGGGAAACGTCTTTCTTCATCCATACAGTATAAATAATCTACACTTAGGTAAGTTATAATCTGTTAAGAACTGCATCACCCATACAGCCAGCATCATTGCTTCTTGGGCACAGAACTGCTTTACAGATGCAGTGTGCAACATCAGTCACAGTCTGCAGACATTGCCTTCATGAGTGCATCACTGTCCATAAGTTCTTCTAGATTAGCAATGATCAGATTGCCTAAATGTGCAAGGCATTAAATCAGCATTTATTGTAACAAATATTCAACTATATTCTCCTGTTAATATACAGTATATTTTTGGTTATCCATGCTAATTAATGCGAATCACAGTGGCTGCATGGTCTAAAGCATGGATGTCTCTTTGTGTAGGTAGGGACCTTGCAACAGGCTGATCCCCCCATCCAAAGAGTCTTACCAGCTGTCTTAGGATTAAGAAACTGAAGTGAAATAAAGAGTTTCACAGATGCCCCATGCTCCAAGTAGGAGCAATAGGAAAGAAAAGATAGAGAGAGGGAGATGCTAATGAATGGGAAAGGACATGCAAATAACTGAAAAACAGATAATCCAAACTTTGGGTGAGATTAGGAGATCATGGTGATTGCTGAATATAGAAATTTGGAAGTGTACACATAACATCCAGTTTGTTCAGTTACCTCAAAAAGCATGAGACAGAAATAATTTATTGAACATAAAATCTGTCTTACAAATTTTTCTGTAGAATTCCTGTTCTAAACATTTTTCACTCAAGTAAATATTTAATGAGTTATGCGTGAGATATAGGTAAAAATGAATGCAGGTCTTCACATAAAATGGTCATTAAAATTCGTCTAATCTAATGAAAACTGAAATAGTTAGACAGTTCTTCATAAAATTATAATATTTCATGAAAGTCCATTGAGCACTTCTTGAATTGTTTCATGCCTTAAGGCACACAGATGAATGAATTTAACAAACTTAATAGGTGCTATTCAGGATTACAAATGCGCCAGAAGGCATAAATATAATGTGCACATTGATAATTGGGAGTACGCTGTAATTCTGTTTTGAGATGCATTCACATTTTGCAGTGAGTACTGACTTTCTCTAGCATTACAGAGATACTGCAACAAATATGGTACCTGTGTTAATATTTTTTTCACTTTCCTGTTGATTCATTGGGCTATTCTGTAGTTAGAAATATAAGTGTATTGCTTGCTCCTATACTTGTGCATTTTCATGAGTAATGGTTATTTTCAGCTAGTCCTACCGGAATACCTGCTTCATCTGCTCTTCAATATACTATTCATGGCTTCAGGGGAGTGGCTTTCATTGTGTCTGAACATACCCCTTATTGCTTACCACATCAACAGGTATGGACAAGTATAAGCCCTTTACTTTCTCCCCTTAAATATATTTAACGTTTCCTCAAGAACTGACCCTGTTATGCAGATGTTCACCATAATGGAAAAATATAAATAGGCAGCCACAAAAACATCTGAGCACGAATAAGCCCTACCACCATCATGGTGGAAGTATCAGCAGACTTTTTCAACTACTCACATTGCATTTAACCAGTGATTACACACTTCTGGCAGAAAATCATTGTTTTCAATTAAATATTTAACCCTTTCCATGCTGCAGACATGAATGTCCTTTAATGTATTAGCTTAGGTAATGTTACATGTATACGTGTACATATGTATCTTTTAACACTTGATTACACTACATTAACCAAAAAGAAGTTTAGTGTGGAAAAGTTTAATGAAATAACTCTACTGTTCCTGTATGCCCATTCCATTATAATACTGCAGTGTACTGTAGGAAGTTACATATATTCAGGCATGTACTAATACTCGTAAATTCTTTTGAATGTTTTTAATGATCTCTGTCCAGGTATCGTACACGCCCTGTAATGACTGGGCCAGGTCTGTATGATCCAACAAGTATCATGAACGCTGATGTTCTCACAAAATGCCAACGAGAAGGATGGATTAAACTAGCTTTCTATTTGTTGTCATTCTTCTATTATTTATATGGGTATGTTCTTTTTACGCTAAAATATGAAACAGTAAATTTCATAATGTCTTTGGGTGTTATAGCAAGAAACGTTTATTTATATATATTTGATAGAAGTGTATATTCCAGTTATGTAACATGTTAAAATGTGATCTTTTAAAATATGTCACAATATATTCTGCTGATATAAGCTTCAAATGTATACATATTTTTTTCTGTATTGTGTACTTAACACTTGTAGCTATATTGTATGATTTGTATTTATTTTCAGAATGATCTACTCCTTGATCTCAACATAAGTACCAACCAGTCCACAACTGATCATTTGAGCCAAGATTATAATTAGCATTGCCTCAAACCCCTGTGTGAAACATTATGTAAATGTTGTCACTTTTAGTTCATTCATCCATAACTGTTTCAACATTGATGAATAATTGTTGTAACTGCCATATTGAATGAAAGTATGGAAGGTTTGGTAATTCAAATACTAGCCTGTAAGAATTTGACTGTGTGATTGTTGTAAAGGGAGGGTCCCTAGTGAACCTTCCCACCAAATGAACAGTGAGTAAGTTGTGTAATGTAGAGATCACAGAAGCCTGACATTTCTCAACATTACCCTCAGTACCAGTCTTAGTATTTCAGCATGTTTTATGGGATGCCATAATTTTCCACTTATTCTGTTCACTAAGTTTAACTTCCATATTCCAGCATCTCCTATTCCTATTTTCCTCTACCAGAACATTACATTTTCTTGTGTCAGTAACTGTACTTTCAAGGCTGCACCATAGCTCAAGCGGTTACTCGCTGGCTTCCCACCGTGGCGGCCCGGGTTTGATCCTGGCTCTGGTCAAGTGGGATTTGTGGTGGACAAAGTGGCGCTGGGGCAGGTTTTCTCCCAGTACTTTGGTTTCCCTGCCAATCTTCATTCCACCAATTCCTCCACAATCACCCTCACCTATCATCTGGGGCTGGTACAATAGGTCAGAAGTGGCTGCAGTACAAGGGACTTAGTCCCACCCCACTAGCAATAAAAAAACTGTACTTTCAGCAGCTTCCATTTTGTCTTTACCACTGATATTTCTCGCAAAATTATGTATGACATGGTACCTAAGGGAGACAAATCTGTCAAAAAAAAACGTAACTAGATTAAACCTATAGGATTCATCACTGTTTGGAACACTTTCTTCTGTTTAATCAGATGGTCTCATAGCAATAGTTATATGACTGGAGTGTAAATTACATAATGAAACACCATATTACTCAAATACAGGATGTCCCTCTTTTAAAATCTGAAAATTTCAAATCTTAACATATTTATACGTATATTACAACTTACAAGGATTTTATCTCACCAAGGGTCATATTCTGTACTTTTAATAAACAATGCGTCTGAATGCTATTGTGTTAACAGTAACACATTTTATATGTAATAAGGCACAAAGAGATAAGTAATACTAAACAAACTCGATTAAAAGAACATTAAGAGATAAAAGATCTTATTCCACAAAATCACTCCATGTCCTGCAGTTATCAACACTTCCTTATTCATTACTCAAAGAGTTAACCTGTGTCCGTCACCCTCCTCCCACAGGATGCCTTCCGTGCCGTTCAAGAGGCAGCGCTTTGTGAACCTGTTGATAGCTGACTCAGATGAAGTGCCTCCCCTTGCAGTCTTTATCCATACCCCGAGCGATACCTTTGATTGCCATGATCGATTCGGCAGGACATTTCCATACAGTAGTCATGATGTAGGCAGTTCTTGAATAGTTTAAGAAAAGCCTCAATCCAGTCATTAATCTGTACATGAATACGAGGGGGGACCCAAAAATAACCGGAACCGACCTGTTGCGCGCGCATGCTTTGTAGTTACGAGTTGTGCTGCTAGGTGGTGTTAGCTGGGGGTCTCCCGTGACTGTTAGTGAGCTGGCGTCACTCTGAGTTAAGTGGTTTGTCTGTGGTGCTCTGTTGTGTGCGTTCCTGTTTCAACCCTTTGGCGATTAGTGAGATGGCCGACCAGAAGGAACAAAGAGGGTGCGTGAAATTCTGGATCGTTCTGCACTTCACTCTTCAAGACGCGGCAAACATTCACGCAGTTTTCTCTTTCGTCATCTCCGAGCAAGCGAGGAACAAATTTTGCAGAGACCCGTCTCATGTGCAAACCTTCAGTTAAAATTTGCTGGACCGTCCTCCATGAGATGTTCGTTTCCTCAGAAAGTTGGTCAATGGTCTTTCGACGATCTTCATCAATTTCACGCACACTCTTCGTTGCTTCTGGTCGGCCATCTCACTAATCGCCAAAGGGTTGAAACAGGAACACACACAACAGAGCACCACAGACAAACCACTTAACTCAGACTGACGCCAGCTCACTAACGGTTGCGGGAGACCCCCAGCTAACACCACCTAGCAGCACAACTCGTAACTACAAAGCATGCGCGCGCAACAGGTCAGTTCCGGTTATTTTTGGGTCCCCCTTCGTACATGGCCAAAGCAGTACCATTTCCCTTCTACCCTGCTGTGAATTGCATCTGTGTACATAATTTGCTGTATTAGCTAATTTGCCAATGGGTACCTAAGTGTTTGTACATGTTAGAGACAATGAATGATGTGCAACTGTAGATGCAACAACAGATAGTAAGACTCTGCATTGAACTTCCATCTGTGAGTTGTAGAAATAATGAACAGCAGGCACAGCCAACATATATAGCATGACAAATAAATGTGTCACGCCTGTTAGCTATCATAATGGCATCATATGTCGTCTCTGCACTGACATGCAACACAGTCAAACTTGACAGTCTCTTCAGAGTGAACCTCTTGCATCTGTGTTCAAGTAGGAGACTACTGTCTTCCATATCAGTAATCACAAGCTGTGCTGGAAGTATCCTCCACTGTTCTGAATACATGCATTAAATCCTCTCGACCACCATGCTTTGAGAGATACTTGTGAGAATTTCTGTTGTGATGCTGCCAATGGGATATTCAGTATTTACTTGAACTACAAAACATTACAATGCAGACGACCCATCCTCTTCTTCATATGGATGATGTGTTTCAGCATTAAATTCTGTGTGCTCCTCCATTAAAAAATAATTTTGAGAAAGAAAAGATAAGTACCTGAAACGTCCTGTTCTGAATCCATTTTCTTCCTCATCTAATTTATCTTTACAATAACTGGAAAGTTTGTTCTTTTTGTATGTTTGGGTACATTTTTACCTTAAACTCAGTAGGACTGTTTCCTGCATAGCTGACACATTTATTTAGGCCTCCTTTCTTATACATTGCCGTAACTGATAAAATCTTCTCAGGCGACCAGCCACTTGTGGAATGTTATGAGGGAGAGTTCCCTTGACAATTTATATAAAGGAAGTTAAAGAGATTTAGGAAACAGTTTTCCTGTATACCTGAATAATTCCAAGTTTATTCCATCCTGTCCTGGAAATTTTGTTTTTTACAATTTTCTTGTTCCAAGGATATCTGTAAATGATTTTGTCAATTTCCTATTAAAGCTGTCATTTACTAATACCCATAGATTCTGAAAATAGTCCAAGTAAGTTGATTATATGGAATGTATTTCTACATTTTCTTGCATCTAACTCCAAGCATAGAATAGAACCCTTCCACATTTGTCTGTTTTCATCTAACTTCTCTTTTTTTGTGTTAAGTTCTATCATCTAAACAAGTTTTCAATTGAGTGCAAGCATCCTAAAAGTAAAAAGCTTGAATGTTCTGTGTTGGCTGTAAATATTCTTTAAGAAGCAGCTGTATCTCTCATTTATTGAAGTACTACATGTACAGCTGTAACCACTGAATGCTGCTTGCATCAAGGACCACAAATTCCCATCTGCCCCAAATTCCGTTTTAGCAGCCTCAGTTTGTTGGTTCATCACTCCTATGGGGCACATGGAGAAGCCACATTCTATGTTACCTCAGTATTGCAAATGCCAACTTACGCACAGAAGTATAGATGGCTCTGTCCAGCTTACACTGTTCAAAAGATACATACACTGAAGGTACTACTTACCCATTTCACTGATGAATTACACTATACTGAGGCCAAGGAAAGAAGTTGTATGGATGGTGCGCATGATGGCACTTGTGGTTTCCCCCTCTCCAGCTCAAGGCACTTGTTACCAGCAAAGTTTACCACTACCAGCTGTCATGTGAAGGGAATGTAGCAAAGTATGTTGAAGGGGTAACATAACTACTCTAGGGAGATCTGGAGGGAATTGATCCTGGGGATTCTTTCAGTGGTGTTACAGGTTACTGAAGTGTGTGAAAATTAAATTACAAATGTGCAAGCTTTTAAATGCACAAATCATTTAATTCAGTGTCATATATTTCCCTTACAGATCCCAGGAAATCCTAGTATGGTACTTACAATTATTAATGTTTTATTAGATTGTTGGTTATTTAGTTTGCATGCTCTTGTTTGGAGTTCCAATGAAGAAAGCAAATATATTTTTATTTGACTGTAAAATGAATCATCCTATATTAGGGTGACCAATTTTTGAGGGTGAAGCATTCACAAACCCCCAAACACATATAACTGGGGTACAAAGATGTTAAGCTTTTGTTTCAAACGTGTAACATTTAATTTTACTGTATCACTTTTTGTAATAAAACAATACATCAATATTTGTTACTTCTCATTGATACTCATAAAGATTTCACAGCATTGAGACCATATGTGTATGCCAGATTTTACTGACTGAACACAAGCTTTCTGCAACTGTTGTCAAGAGTGGCTGATTCATCCACTGGTGCTCTTAAAGCATTACCTAGCATTTAGAAACCTTTGTCCTTCACAGAACAGGACAAACTGATTGACACTGGACAGGAGTGGAAAGACATACTTTGTTTTTGTTTCCGCAGTAAACATAACTTAGTTGTGAACAATTATAAGCATCATCTATACAACACTAGTTTCAGTATTCTTTTGTGGGTTACTTAACAGTACTTCTGGTATCACAACTGTATCATGTCATGGTAGAATGACTGATGAATTGGAAACAATTTGGAAATGGTCATGGCCTAAACAAGGCATTATCCAAGTGACCCTGTGAAGATTCAAAACAAACACCTTCCTTACACAAGTCTAAAGTGTTAACTCTATACCAACCCATTCAGTAAAGATTTATTTCAATATATTATATTGTTTAGGAGGAATGTGATATTCATTTTATTCAGATATGTTTAAAGAGATTAATAAATTTTGAAAAGTATCATATTTTGTTTCACAGTGGTATTCAGAATTTAGTGTGATTATTTGTACTAAAGTAAATTTATATAAAGTAGAAGAAATAATATTTTCAGGATAACTGCTGTTGCAGATTATCTCTACCAAATTTCACTGAAATGTGTCTTAGTTGGGGAGATGTAGATATCGCTTTCTCTCAATTGTGTCTGACAGAATGTCTCCTGCCTCTAGAATTTACATACTCTGGATTGAACTGAAGCCCAAACATTAAAAAAAAATACATTAACATGATTTTATTCAAGATTGGTGTGAAGATAAAAAATAACTGGAAATACACATTCAGGGTTAGTCCTGAAAGGATTATCAATGTAACTTTTATAAACATTATATCCATCAAAGATCTGCAAGTGTAATACGTTCCATGCAACCCCCATCTGTGGCAAAATATTGGTGCATATGCCCAAAGAGACAGGACTATTTCTGTGAACATAGCATTCATTTCCAATCCTCATACTGACTTTTAAATACACTGCTAGATAAAGGAGACAATTGAGATCAGGCTTCACCCCAGACACTTCAACAGGGACATGCGGTTCAATCCCAGCCAGTCCTGGTAGCTGATGATTAATATGATCAAGCAGTACAGAGATACAGCAATCTGGAGACATCATCAAACAAGCACATTTCTGACTGCAGCACGAAGCCCCTCACAGGCTCACGGTTTCAATCACGGACTGCAGGGCAGCAGATAGATGGGATGGTTTGGGTGCAATGTCACATCAGACCCTGATGATGGGGACATTGTCCTTGAACTGTTGGTCCTTCTTAAAATGACATGGCTGGTAGCCCAAGAAGATTTCATTATACAAGGGTTTAATGATAAATAATGCCTCAAACTTCATAACTTGCCAACAGTTGGCAGCACTGACATCGTACACGCTGCAACGCAACTTGGCTAGCAGCAAGTCACTTGGTTAAAAGGTTGTGTTGCTATTTTCCATGAAATGGGAGCCTGCCTTGAGCACTCGTCGGTGCGCTTTAAGCAACATGCCATGATTGAATTTTTCACTGCTGATGGAGTCTCTCCAACTGAAATTCAACTGCTGAATGCAGATTAATGGTGATGACTGTGTTGATGTGAGCATTGTGCATTGCTGGGGCAAGAAACGTAAAGATGGTGAACCAGGAAGAGCTGATTTGTGTGTTAAACAATGAAGCAGACAACCTGTGACAGCAGCCAATGAGTTTCACAAGAAAAGGTCGATGAATTGATTAAGGAAAATCAACGGATCACTCAAAGGGAAACTGCTGTCAAGCTTGCCATTTTACAGGAATGTGTGGGTCACATTATAGATGTTCTTCAATATCAGAAGGTTTGTGCATGATGGTTTGCTTGCATGCTGACAGCAGAGATGAAAGCTCCGAGAGCTAAAATTTGCCAGAAACTTTTATGACACTATGGGAACGAAGATGAGGAATTTCTTCACATTATGACAGCCAATGAAACAAGGTGCATCATTATGAACCTGAAACAAAGCATCAGTCTGGAATATCATCACAAAGGTTCACCTGAAAAAATAACTTCAGCAGGAAAACTCATGGCTTCAGTTTTTTGGGATGCAGATGATGTTAGTCACATGGATTTCCTTGAACCTGGGACCCCTATCAACTCAAAGCACTACACTGCAACACTCAGAACTTTGAAAGAATGATTAAGAAGAGTTCAGAAGCACAAGAACATTCTGCTGCAACATCACAGTGCTAGGCCTCATATCTCACGAACCACCACAGAAGCAAAAGAGAAGTTGGATCTCACAAACTTGCCATGCCCACCATACAGTGACAGCATGTGACTTCCATAAATGAAAGAAGAGCATATGACTCAAATGAAGAGGTTGAAAGGACTGCCAGTGTCTGGATGAAGAAAAAAAGTGTGGAGTTCTTTCATGCCGGCTTTGAGAAACTTGCCCGGTGTTGGCAAGTGTGTGGAGAATGGTGGTGATTATGTGGAGAAGTAAAGAGAGGCAATAAAAAAGCTTGTTTCAAGAATTGGAGTATCCTTATTACAACAAAAGTAATCGAGATTGAAGCATTAATTTTCATTCAACCTACACACAAGTCATTGCATGACAAAATGGATTCAACAGAACAGGATGTGGAACAGGGAAGTGTCACATTTAAATTACCAGACTGTCCGTGTTGAACTGCACATCCATTGATAAGAACAAGTAACAAGACGGCACTTGCACAGTGCTCAACACCAGGCAACCATCCCATTAATATGATTTTTTGCCATAGAAGAACTATGAAAACAATACAGCACCCGGGTTTGTGAGATCTAATGATCTCCCAGCAATGATTATGAAGAATGCTGTCTTCTGGCATGTGACACCATTGTCTTCTAGTAGATACATAACAAACTATACAGTCACACGCCAGTAATCATCAGTGGGAACTTCTGTTTGTGACTGTGCACTGATCAAACTCTCCTCCAGTTGCAAAAACCATACCTGGCCAAGTGTCATTTACAATCATTACAGCTAACACTGAACCGCACTGCCATCTACAACTCAAATGAGCATTTCTGATGTTGCTGCAACATGCATATATAATATTCTCAGCATATTTAACATCCACATCATCCAGCAAATATCCAGTATGTATGATATTTTCTGTTCACATATATCTACTATCTACTATTCTTTGTATTCTACCTTGTACATCTGTGTATGAAAATAGTGCACAATAAAAGCTGTGCCTAGATGGGTATTGAACTCTTCTCCTGTCCCACAGTTGATGGTTATAAGTTTATTTCAAGAAGTTTCAAATCACTGAAATATGTATAAAAATTTAAATCAAGGATGAGTTCTGAATCTTTTTGATGAAGGTACGTACATCACAGATTTATACCCCAGGTATTTTCAATCATCCAGGTTTTATATTAAGAACACAATGTCCAGCAATTCACACTAGCTTATGCAAAGGAGCCTCTCATATTTGGCACCTATGTCTGCTGTAAGCAGAGAGCTCAGCCACCATCTCAAATATTGTGTTTTCAATATAAAACTTAGACAATGTATAACTGAGGCAAGCTGTGGGAGATTTTACATATTATCAAATGCCCTTTCATACTTTCAACAGCACTGGCTTCAAGCTACTCGTTGCAAGCAAGACTCACTCAGCTGAAGCAAGCTCATTTGCAAAGTTTCTCCCGCAGCCACTCTTCTGTCAGTTCATCCAGTTCTCGAACTTCATAGACCCGTGTCAGATCTGCTTCCTTCTGCAGTGCCAGTTTTGTCCCAGCATACATTATCTGAAGCTCCATCTGACTGTCTGGTAAGGTACACAATGGAACAAAAGAAATTGCTATGTAGAGGCACTGCACTAGGATCCCAGCTATTGACAGGTAACAGGCTCCACAAATGAGTGGTAAACCTAAACAAGGGAAGCCTAATACACAGTCCAACACTGAAGCAGAAGTAATATCACAGGGTGGGCGGACAGGGGTGGCAGAGAATTAGTAACTAAAAAGTACATGAGTCCTAAAACAGCAACGTGTTATGGCACATAAGTATCACCATTACAGACATGCCTCCGCTATTTTTGGGCAGGCAGGAGACAAACATTTGCATTGTCACAGTCAAGAAAACTTGCCCAAGAGAATTTATTTACTTAATGCAGCTGTTAGTAACTTAATTACATAAGGATAAAATTGTAAGGTAATGGGTGAATAATTAACTGAAAAGGGTGTTAAATGAAGTGGTTGTGGCATAATTTTAGGTACTGTCCCGCACTCTCCTGGAGGAACTGAGAAAACAATTTTCAATCAGGATAACCTGTCTCTGGGCCAGGATCTGAACCCAACATATCCAGACAGGATACAGGACTGTCCAAAGTGAAAGATATCCCAATTAGCAAGACCTCCAAGCTAGTCAGGTGGATGGGAGTCACATGACAGAGTGGTGACCCAGCATGCAAGAATATTTACTTAGAAGATCAACATAGTAAATGAAAAAGGACAAAAAATGGAGACAACCCAACAAGGAAAATAGGCACTAAATTAAACCTTTTGTTGCTGAAGCCCTGCCAAAGAACATTCTGCTAGAAATACCAAGGCTGAGTGAGGGTTCATGCAGTTGCACAGAGCAACCTACAGTACTTTCCTTATGCGACCTTCAAACACAAAGAGAAATATTTCATGTGAACATCTCTTCTTTCCTCTAAACAGCAGTACGTAAAATCTGATGGTCTACTGACAGAAATTATATGCTAATTGATTAACAATGAGTCAGTCTCTTTGAATGTGGCTGTTTTAAAGTCAGCACCCTCAACTAATTCAGATGGCAGACAACATCCGAAGGGCTAACAATATAACAGCAAATATATCCTCCAAGATCCACTTATTTGCATTATATTATATTTTCAATGCATTATCTTTTGGTAACACTTCACTTTACCTAGAGCAATCTGCAACATAAATTAGTGAGCTTTGACTGTTACATGCACCAACTGACTTGCCAAACAGACCTCAGGGATGTCAACAAAAGCCACTAAAGTAACGTGTGTTCTTTCGTAAGGACATCCTTTATTCTTGAAAGACAAAAGTGATGAGGTCAAGATACTAAGACCACAGCAAGAGATCCCTCCACATTTCCCTCAAGCTGTTTTGCTTTCTTTCTAGCTTACTTCTTTGCATTCCCCTTTAGTCATATAGCCATTCTGTTAAAGAAAATGCTGGCAGTGATAACCTTCATTAGCAACTCATACTTTGGACTGATTATAAAGTAGTGGTTTCTGATATGCCATCTGTCTGTCTGCATGTCTGTAGGTCAGTCTTGCTACCGCCTAAAGGGTCGAATGGACTTTAATTCAGTATTCAAAAGTTCACTTCTTAGGTCAGTGCCTGGTGAATCTGAACATTCCACTTCCAAAAATGGAGACCCTCCATACAGATTCTCAAACACAAAATAGTGACATTCTGCATATGGCCGACATAATTCTGATCAAAGCTCAGCAATTTATGGAGATGATATTTGTAAATAAACACAAATCAGGAAAATTATGGTACATGAACGAGATGCCCAAACGATAAATGTAAATTTCTTGCAATGTTTGCAATGATTTTTTCTTTTTCATAAATACTGTTTGTGTAGCTTACTTCACTCTGAACCTGAATATCAAAACAACAGACACTGACGACAACAATGTCCTACCTCGAGGTGTGATGTAAATGAAGCACATGGGGTATGAAACACGGCCATCGGAATGCTCCATGCAGTAACTGTACACAACAAATCGAGGCTGATGCCCTGGAAGTATTTCCCTTAGGTCATCCACACTGACATCCTGAAATTATATGTCGCATCCACAGTCACAATTATTTCTCGAAGAGTTACTATTCTTTGTAATGAAAATACTTCTTCTGCACTAGGTGATCCCCATTAAAATTGCTCTTCAGTACATCATCCACACTGACATCCTGAAATTATATGTTGCATCCACAGTCACAATTATTTCTCGAAGAGTTACTATTCTTTGTAATGAAAATACTTCTTCTGCACTAGGTGATCCCCATTAAAATTGCTCTTCAGTACAACAAAACCATCCACCTCTGGTGAGATCTGAGGTACTCACACAGAGAACTATCTCCTACAACATGACAGTGAATGTACTGCCACAGTCTTCCATGTTAAAAAGTAAGCGAGCAAGGAAATGGGCAGTTCAGGTACAGCCTGGAGTAAGAGCCTTGAATGAACCAGTGGGCACCAGGAAATCAGAGACTAAAAGCAGTTTCTGTCTCAAGAGAAAGATGGGAAGGGAACCAGTGAACAATGGGAGGTGTAAGTGGTCTGCTTGCTTCACTTATTCTTCAATCCTGAAGATGGAATCATTATATTCATCCAATACTTCGGTAAACTTCTACCAGGCTTACGGCCAATAAATTCCAAGAGACAGAATAGTGAAGTTGCACCTTATGGGCGGGATACATTCTAAAGGAAGCACGTAAACTCAAAATTGCATAGTCACAATTACCCTTGAAAATTTTTTAAATGAGCCACAAAGTACATGCTTTTGTATATACCCTATAATATTGTGGCATGTAGACCTGTTACTAGGAAATGACAACAAGATAAGCACTTATACAACGGCCACTGCTAAGCAATGGCTGAGTAGCGATCAGATGGGTATCCCAACAGATGAAAATGCAACAATGCATACAGCAACAGAGGAATGGTGTTTTCTGTGCAGTCCATGCCCACATGTTCTAAGCAGGACAGACGGAGCAATGGGTTAGAGAGGACCGAAGCCTTTTCATAAGAGACAAACCCATCATCTCACCAGAGATGTCATATGAGGACTATGACAGCAAGGGTTCACTTGCAAAAAAAATCTCTGGTTGTTAGCCAGAGTCATAAAGTAACTGACTCTGATTCTAACTCAATGGGTTAGTTGTGGGGCAACTGCTAAATCATGACAACATGTATGTATATAATATTTATATTAAAAATATATATACAAGTAAAATACATAGTAAGTTTATTTGTAATTGGGTAAAAAACAGAGACAGACAGACAGGAGCCATACAGTATGAAAAATACCTATGTTTAAACACTCTAAAATCACACTCAGCAAGGCAAGATGTACACACTGTAACAGACACATGGGAACTGAGGCCATGTCAGAGTTTACACTCGCTCTGTGCTTAGGCCAAGTGATGCAGCACGTGCAAACATCCCACATTATTTGTTTTTTTTGGGGGGGGTGAGTGCATACAGTTGAAATCATGTACATTGTGCGTTCAAGTTCTAAGGTCTCCAATTTTTTTTTCTCACACAATAATCATACAAAAAATTTGAAACTTCTGTCACTTTTCAACGTAATCTCCCTGCAGCCGTACACATTTTTCACAACATCGACGCCATGATTCCATGGCCGCAGCGACGCATCTGTAGGAGTCTCTTTTGACCACTGGAAAATCACTGATGCAATAGCGGCACGACTGGTGAATGTGTGACCATGGAGAGTGTCTCATCCATTGTCACAATTGATGAAAAGAAAGTCCCATTCATGCCTTCATCACGTGTCAACATCGCCTGGCAAATTGCCATGCGCGCAGCCTTGTGATCGTCCGCCAGCATTCGTGGCACCCACCTGGAGGACACTTTCCGCATTCGCAGGTCTTCATGTAGGATTGTGTGCACAGATCCCACAGACATGCCAACTTTGGAGGCGATGTTTTCCACACTCAATCGGCGATCCTCCAAAACAACTTTCTTGCTCGACCATTTTGTCAGACCGGCTGGTGCGGGGCCGAGATTGTTTTGGTTCGTTGTCACACGACATTCGGCCTTCTTTGAACTGTCGCACCCACGAACGTACATTTTTCACATTCATGACACCATCACCACATGTCTCACTCAACTGGCGATGAATTTCAATGGGTGTCGCGCCACGCAAGTGGAGAAAACGAATGATTACTCGCTGTTCTTGTAACGAAAACGTCGCCATTTTATGTATCAAAAACACTCCTCACTCTCTCCCACACCACTAGAAATCTGTGTGCCGTACAGTGCCGCCATCTCTGTCACACATTCACAAAGAGCGCACATGTATTTTAAACTAAACCGCATGTATCTATCTGCTCCCAGTCCTGAGAAAAAAAAAATCAGAGACCTTAGAACTTGAACGCCCCTCGTATGTTAAATGTGTGTATGATGTAAATCCTCTGTAGTCTTCATTATTCTCTCACTGCCTTTTCACATTGAAAATAACATACAACTTTATAAAGTGGAAACACACATACAATTACACCCAACAGTTGTGTCCCCAAGAGTGGTTGCTTAACTTGAGATTCCATAACTCAGAATTTTGTTAATTTCTGTTACTCCTTTGCTTTCACTGTCTTTCATTCTTAATTGGAAAATATGTAATTCAGTTACCTTTAATACTGTAGCATGTAGGCCTTGAAACATACAACAAAACAACATTCGCTGCTAGGCAACAGATTCTTAATAAGCAAATATACACAACAGCAATTGCTGAGTAACAGTTTCTCAAACAAACATGCTCCCATGGAAACAACTGAACAACAGAGGAACGGTGTTTTCTGTACAGTCTAAGCTGAGATGTTATAACTGAGACAAGTCAGTTGCAAGCAGTGCTCAGCTAAATTTCAGGTTATGAAGAGATGACTTTATGTATGCTGTAGTTACAGTGATATTGGGTGTGTGTAATTCTGTGAGATTGTTATAGTCAGTGTTAAAATCCATTTCCAGGAAACGACCTGTGGAGATTGTTAACAGACTGAGGACACTAGCCTGTATGTGTCAGAGATCTGTAAAATGTAGTCATGAGTTGTGAACGTATTAACTGGTCAATAAATCCAATATCCAATCCAAAACCCCATCAAGAGTCACTCTAACATATGACAATATCATTCATTTCAGCCACTTACAAATACTTATTTCTTTCCACTTCTGACAAATAATTTTAACACTTTTCATTGTTTCTAAACAAAAAAAAAAAATCATTTTAAATTCCATTCAGGTAAACATTTTTGTAAGATGAAATGGCACAAGCTCAGGATTACTTGCACAGTATAAAAGCACGGATTTTATGTTTTACAGTAAACTCAATAAATACAAACCAGACTCTCTGGACAGTACTGAAGGTCCCTAACAACTTCATTTTAATTTTTGTGAACCCTCATATTCAGGTCGTAGCAACAACCTTGACAATCATGTTGTCAATATTGGAACCCACCAGTTAATGTTGTACACCATTCTGTGTTTAATTTCAATCATCCCAAATTAAAAATCTCCTTAGTTAAATTATCTACATTTAATGTTTTCCTCAGTCTATTCACTGGTCCCAAAAGAAATGAATAAGGGTTTTGTGGTATTTCGGTTTCCAAATCCCGCCCTCCAAATAAGTTCGGGTATGCAGACTCGTTCCATAAGTATGAAATAAATAGATCCAAAATACAGGAGCATCTTCACATTTAATATGTTAACCCAAAATGAAAGTATCTCTTGGAAGACCTAGACATAGAAGGGAGAACAATATTGAAATGATTCTTGAAAAACTTTAGCAGGAGATAATGACTGCATTAAACTGGCTCAGGATATGGACCAGTGACAAGTCCCTGTTAACATGGTAACTACCTTTAAGGTTCCATAAATGGTGAGAAATTTTTTAATAGCAAAGCAACTGCCAGCTTCTCAAGAAGGACTACGCTCCTCCACAGACTAAGTTAGATATAGGCTAAATACGTATAATGTAGCGTTTATGGACCTAACGTTCACATTTTGTGCTTCATGTAAAACACAACTTCAAGTTTTGAGGGACTCTTTTTAAGCTCATAAGGACATCCTCTATACCAGAACAGAACAGTCTACTCCAGTCACTGAAAGACACATTTCAAGTACATAAAACTGTTCAAAGCAATGAATAATCTAAAAATCAGATACTCAATTTGGAATCTGCACAAGGCATCATTCTAACATTTCACTTCAATACTTCACATAAACATGCAAGTCCTTACCTCTATCAGATCATCAACGCATATCTTCTGCTTCTCTCGATCGACTTTCACTAGAAGGCAGAATAGAAAAGTCTCTTAAGGTAAATCAGTGCACAGTACAATGTTAACAAATATGATTCACTTCAAGCCTTAAATTAATTATAATCTGAATACTCTTTTATACAGGTCAGCAGTGGAAAGTGAACTGCTCTAAGATACTAAAATACAAGCAACAAGAGATCAGCAGGAACACGGATACATGACTTTCAATGAAACATGAAATTATTATTACACAGTAATTTCTATATGAATATAAAACTTGGAAACTAAGAGAAAACCACAGAGGGACAATCATCAACATAATCAAAATTTTTGCTAGAATTAAGACCACTGAATAAGATAACAAATAATGAAACTATAACTCGACTAAAAGTTTAAAAGTTTTGACAAAATGGTGGAATTTGAGGTTCTCACAGCAGTGACTAAGAAGAGTTCTATTTTCCCGGACATAATTCTGTGTAGTCCAGCAAACACTGTCCGACACTTGAGAGGAACATACTGCCTCCATCTTCAGGGTCGAAAAGTAAACCAACCAAGAAACTAGCAGAAGCAGGCAGCACTCTGCTCCCTAGTCTTACACCCGAAAAGCAAGAACTCTTCAAAACAGTGGAAGAATAAACACACATATAGTACACATGCACAGAACATATGGGGAACAAAAACGGTGTTTTTAATTCTAGTCTTATGTGCAACAATTTATTAAAACTTAATAAAAGCTAGTCATTTTAAAAGTTTTCATGACATGTTTCAACTGAACTGGTCATCATCATCAGGCAATAAAAAGTTGTGGGTGAGAAAACTGCTGTCTTTCTGTGTTGACGTTTAGTTGTTGATATGTGGTTCCCCTAGTGCACATGTGTGTCTGTAGCAAGTGTAATTCTATTAGAATTTATGTTTGCGAAGCTTTTTTGTATAATTTTACCTCTTTGTTTACTTACATTCCTCCCTGCCTCTTTGCAAACAGGCCACATTCCAGACCAGAAATAAAGAACACACACAGGCTATCAGGAATAACAATAACAACTGAGGATATTCAAATCATACATTAAATACAGGACATGCATATGGAAGCATAACTGACACCATGGAAGTTATAAAAACAGAGAAAAAAGGAAAACATCTAAATATGCCAGAAAAATACCATATATATATATATATATATATAAAATAAGTACTACATATGAACAACACATACATTGACATATATGACCCAATATTTGAGGTAATACAAGCCCTGAACACCAGACAGTGACAAATAAACATTATAAGAATAAGAACCAGTCCAACTCAGCAAGCATTTGGAAACAAGACAAGGAACATAATACGAAGGGAAACATAACACAGCAAGGAGAAATGCAAGTACACAAACATGTAAAATTATACAAACTTCACAAACATAAATTATAATCGAAGAATTTACACTTGTTACACACACACACACACACACACACACTAGGGGAACCATATACCAACAACTAAACATCAACACAGAAAGACAGCAATTTCCTCACCCACAACTTTTAACACCTGATGATGACCAATTTGGTCGAAACATGTCATGGAAACTTTTAAAGTGGCTAGCTTTTCTTGTTTTAATAAATTGTTGCACATAAGACTGTAGAATTCAAAACACTAAGTGAAAAGTGCAACAGGGTGCTACAATATAATATTTTGGGGATGATTTGAAGTTCTCACAGCGGTGCCCATAAAGAATACTACTTTCTGGAATGTGGACAACAAGCACTCAGAAATTTACTACCTTCTTGCAAAACCTCAGTAAACTCCTACTGGACTACATACTGTCACACCCCAGGAGACAGAACTCTTCAAGAAGTATAACTGCTAACCTTTTCAAAAAAAAAAAAAAAATCCCTGCTTTTACAGAAACCAAATGTTCATTATGATGTTTACAAAAGCCAGCAACTGGAGTTGCCCCAAGAGTTGATACCCAGTAAACAGAAGTCTCTGAAAAGGATTCATAACAGAACACACTAGCAGTTGTAAGTTAAAATTCAAGAAATTACATCTACTGGAAGGTTATTACAGTATACACTTACTTATCAGTGCTGCGTTTGTATCATTCTTACGAAAGCGAAACTTCTTGAGTGCGTCTTTGACATCATCATCAATGTCACACACTTTAACATTGTGAGACTGAAACAGAAACAAATTACTGGACGACATGATCTCTACAAGTGCATAAACAATGCAAGAGTAATAAACTGTTTTGCTTACAGGTGTCTGATCTCAGACGTCCCTTACACAAAGTTCTCTTTTGTATTTCATAAAGCACACACATCCCAGTTATATCATGTGACCTACTTGGCTTGCACAGTTAACAGATGACCTTACAGTTCTGAACATGTGGAGACAATGAAGATTTCACAGAATATTTCCAATCTGGTATAAATTATCATTCCATACAAGCAATGCTGAGCTTCAAGTAGATGGAATTCAGTACATAACATTCCATTTCTCCACAATTACTAATTTTGGGAAATGCAAAAATTACCCAAGACAGAAATGTCACCTGTGTAAAGAAATTAAAACAAAATCCTCAAAATCACAGTATTTCGTTTTCAACCAAACGCACCGAACTTTACACCTTTCTGTAAATATGGTTTTATGTCATACCACCAACCATCACGGAGCACCAGGTTTGATTCCTACAACTTTAAAAAACAAAGCTGTGTGGAAACAATTTCATATGATTACAACTGTCCTAGATACCTGAACCTTTTAAAACATCCACAGCACTTCAAGAAATACAGGTACTGTTTCTTGTTTAAAACCTTATGTAACTATCCTCCAACGTATGTCCACACAAATACTTCAAAGAGTGTCTTTCATGTCCAATGCATGAATGACCCATATACATCTGGTTTAAACACACAAGAGTTGGTAAAGAAATTTCTTATATTGATGTCATTCACAGCTCAACAATTTTTAGATTAATATTAAAGTGCCATCACGAGTCAAAATTAAAAGAGAGCCAACCTATGACAAAACTTCTTGTGCATTTCTGAAGAAAAATTACCCTAGAAACAGACTTTTTAGTAATATCCTGATGATTGAAGTCTGTACACATTAAAGTAGTTATATGTTTGGCCTGTATGCATTTTAAGGTATGCCAGCTTCAAATGGTATTTGTAGCTCAATGCACTTTCAGTTAAAAAGCCCTTTACTTAACCCAGAGTGAAATTAACAAAACACTGTATGCTTGCCGATATTATTTCTTCAGAATATTTGTTTCAAGAGTGCGCAAGAACTCTCAACTGATCAACTTAAAGACACAAGCTAGTAGTTTATCATAACACATCTGTTTTATTTTCATGCTCCAGCAGATTGGTTTAGGTATCTTGCATTTTATATACTGTGACTGTTCTGTCACCTTCTAATCACAAGCAAACTCACATACGTATATAGAACTCAAGATTTTGTTTTACTGGAGTGGTTCAAATTAGTGAACAAAACTACAATTTTCATTTCCATATATGCAAAAGTTCTACTTCTCATCAGCCTATACATATAGTCACAGAATATTATTTTGACTTAACATTACGTGAAGTATCGTAAAAGCAAGGAGTGAAGGCCTAGCACATTCAAATCAGTGAAGCATTGTTAGGGTCAGGAGTCAAGGCACAGCACATCACACAAATCATGTGAAATGATATTAGTCAGGAGTCAAGGCACAGCACACCACACCACACAAATCATGTGAAATGATAGACTCGGAAGTCAAGGTACGTCACACCACATACTTCATGTGAAATGATATTAGAGTCAGGAGTCAAGGTATAGCACACCACATACATCATGTGAAATGATATTGTATTTAAGCATCTGTTGCATTACTATAACTATTACACACAATACTAATAATACAGTTCTGTCAACAATGCAACTATTTTATTCTTTCTCTTTTACTTTCCAAACTGGCCATCATCAGATATCTTGATTTTCCAAATTTATATACTGTACTGAATATCACTCATTCACTTCACCTGTAATTTTTAATGAATTTTAATAGAAAGTAAATTACAGCGTATGGTAGTTCAACTAATGTTAGCTATATTGTGACTACAACAATATCATGGAATAATGCAATTACATATGACTGCTGACACTAGTATGTGTAACAGTGAACTGTAAAGTGAAGTCACACACTGTATCAAAGAGACCATTTAATCCAATCATCAATCCAAACCCATCCATAGTAGCACTAAATCATGTGACAATACTATTTTCTATAGAGACTACAAGCTCACCAACTTTTGCTAAAATCTGCAAAGGTCAGGTTGTGCACTGTGATCACAGAATGTATTGTCTCCAGTTTGAGATAACAAATCTACCGCACTCTTTATCATTCCATGTTTCCCACTGAATCTTCAAAGGAAATCATACTAGCAAAACAAATAGTTTTATTATTCAATTACAGTTGTCATGCTAAGTATTTACAATCTCCCTGCAATAAAATCCTGCAGCCACCAGGTAAATTAAGCTCACACAGTCACACCATTTTGTTCTAGCATCTGTATAGAAACAAGCATTATCTACAGTAACTCAACCAACAGAAGCTCTGGATGAATATCACATGGATACCTGCCACACTGTGACATGCTGCTTTCCCCAGCAAGATGCAGGACTCAAGAACACATCTGGACAGTAAAGCATATGCTTTATAAGCAGTATAACACATGCAGTCACAGGAGCAAGACACAACACAAAGCACAATACACACAAGAAAGTAGGAAGAATACTCCGATAGAAGAAGATAGGTGTGACTCGCGTATTGAGATACGACATAAGGATGACAAATCCTGAACAGTTTTAATATTTTTAATATTTAAAATTTATCAATATATATGACGAATATATATTTTAGTTATTTTAGTATAAAGACAACAGGACATGCAATGAAATAGTTCAACATACATCGAAAAGCATCTGAAGATGGCACTTTTGTGCTGAAACATGTAGTGCAAGAGAGAAGAGTAAGGTGAATAAATGTATGCACTGTAAGACGGTCAGAATAAATCATGGACATAAATCAGTGCAACAGGACGCTAAAATATAACATTAAGCATATGCTAACTGCCGGCTTGACCCCAAGTCATTTCTGCTCCTGACACACGCCAAATATATGCACTTTATATTCATTATTCATAGCCAATAAATTATCTGCAGTATTGGCATCTTTACCTACTCTCTTCCCTTCACAAGCATACAGGGAAAGGGATACAATTTGAGTGAGATGTTACAGTTCCACGCCTAACTCTAAGGATACATGATATAAAGTACTCCTGACTACAAGATCTTGAAAAGTTTAAATGTGTATCCAAAAAAACTGTAATTTTCACATCTTAAAATTAAAACTGTATTTTTATGAGTTTACTGTCATCCAGATGATGATAAATAAGGCACTAACAGTCTACAGAAACACTGTTACTTGCACAATCCAAAGAAGCATAAATTTAACATATTAAAGTGGTAATAAAAGGAGCTGGGATAGCGCAGTCAGTATGGGACATCTTTAACTCTTAACGCTGTAATAAACCACATGTTCGCGGATTTAAATTTATTGGTCGAAGCTCTCTGCACTGCAGAAATCTCACAGGTCTCATGGGTTTCATTCCTTCTGGCATGAAACTGAGATTCAAAGGGCTACAAGACCATTAAACTATGACCATAACTTGCTTATTTACTTGAGGGTAATGTAACCGATTACTAGTGGACTTGAATGTGTGAGGCCCTGGAGGGGAGGTGCCTACGTGGCGATAGCACGGCATTATTTCGTATGTGAAGTTTTGTAGCTGGAGAGTGGACGGTGGATCCCCGGATTGATGTGGGGAATGATGTCATCTAGGGTGTGGTGCTGGGAAGGCCCTTAGGTCTGTTAGCATCGCCAAGCCAGTGGTAGGCACTTGATAAGATACACTCCTCGTGAGTGGAGGCACTGGCTATTTCCTCATAGAATCGCCTTTGTAGGCGGGACAGTATCAATGTAACTACTATAAATAGTGAGTGATGTATAATTGAAATGATAGATTAGTGATTGTGACAAAGAATAGGTAAATTAAACCTAAGGTTGTAAAGCCAAGGCTTCGTGTTGAAGTTCCTTCGAAGAAAGACCTGTTATCGACCTGAGGAGGAGATCCATGCCTACCATTATCCTAAATCCAACTTGGTTACTTCTGTACCCAAATTGCAAGGAAGAGTATCTAAAAGTAACAGAGTTTGAGGAAGGGTAAAGGTGGACGGAGCGGCAAGCAGGAGTAGCCGTAGCAACTACGAGGAGGAAGGGAGCGGCCGGAGCATCGAGAAAAAGAAGAGGGACGGTTGTAGTAATTTGTCACTTAAGTGTTATCTACCTTTGTGATTTATGAAAGTGATGTACAATACTTCTCTCTGTTTATGTAGATCTGTATCAAAATCTACTGATGCAATAATTTGGTTTTACAAATAATAATAATAATAATAATAATAATAATAATACGTACCATTCCAAAAGTAAACTTTTTTTCCTCCTTGTTCCTCACCACATAACCACTCCCAACACAGCTTCAACTAGAGCCACACCTTCATTTGTGGCGATAAATAAATGGACATAGGGCAAAATCGAATAATCGAATATAAACTATGGATTAATTCGATTGTTTGTCATAATCGAATAATTCGCATATATAAGACATAATCGAATTTATCCCCTTTGCACTTGACAGTCGAAATTCAGTCATCTCTGATAGAAACATTGTCCTAAATTAATGTGACTATACGTCATCTTCACAGATTGGACTGGATCGGACACTCAAAGCCTCAAAGCGCCTTTATTCTGTGACAGCAACTTACCTTAAACCTTGGCGGGAACTTCGACCAATGACTAGTGTAGGCAAATAGAGACAAGTAACAGTTTAGAGCGTTTATGGGGTTTACGCCATAATACTATCTGAATCGAATGGTTTCAATTTCACCTATATATTGAGAAGTAGAAGCAGAACGATATGTTCCTTTATTCATAGTCCAGTATGTGTGCTGAATTATGACAGATGAAATAATTAACAATGTACTAGAAGACAACAGCGGGAAACAGCAGACGTACTCCACAGGTTACCAGCATAACACGACACTATGATACCATGAGGGCCTTCAGCATGTGTTATAAATGGGACAAAGAAAGCAACATGTAAGCTGAAGACATCATCACATTGAAAAGATTGCAAGAATAAGTTCTAAAAGAGGCATTTGGAAACAAAGACAGAAAGCTATTGACTCCTTTGTTGTAAACATGCAGTAAAATGAACCCCTAAATACTGAATTAATGGACAAAAGTCACAGTACACATTTACATATGTAAAATAAATAAATGATAATAAATTCCGTTAAATGATAATCAGTTCTGACTTTTCACAGTAACCCGTAGTTTTATATATCAGATTACCAAGGTTGTGCTGAATAATTAACAAGTGCCTATGCTTTTGTACTAGTCAGTAGGGAAAAAATTGAAGGTTCTTGGTTAGCATATCAGTTCCTGAAATTGTTTCCTACCTCGGTGTCATGCAGAGTGATAAACTGCTAACTAGTGACGTCCAAGTCTCATATTGCAACATACAGCCCTCTGGTTGATATACTGTGTCTGGGAAAAGGCACAGGCCCAAGGTTGTGGAAGAATGTCACCTCTACCTTGGTTCAGGGTCGTAGACTATGTGAAGCAAAAAACAGCACACAAGCAAGCAGGTTCCAAGTAGAAGCATAGATCCCTCAATATGCAGGTGATATGTTCCTCTGAAATGTCAGGCCATTTTTGAACCACACTGGAAGGTGGTTCTGTCTACAATTGAGGTTGAGTCTATATAGTTAATCCACCATGGCGTGGAGGTATCAGTTCAACTCTGGCTGGAAGTTTCTACTGTTTTTCTGTACTTGGTGCTGGCCAAGGTCCGGCTTGCATTGGCCATTGTTACAAAGTTCCCAGACTGTTATTGTTGTACCTGCCTTGGTGAAATATGACAGGGGAGTCCAAGTCACACTTTGGCAAGCCTATTGCATCAGTCAGCCATGTGACACTGCGCTGTGAAAATGCATTGTTTTTCACATGAGTGCTTCTTTGATTTTGTTTCATTTTGTCTGTGATGGATGGCAAAATCAAGCAACATGTCTGCATCAAGTTTTGCATGAAGCTCGGTAAATCTTCTACCAAAACAACTAAAATAAGCACCAGAAAACAACAGAAAATGTGGAAAAATTCTGAGTACTCATCCATGAAGACCGTTGCCGAACAGTCCATGAGCTCGCAGACACCACTGAGATCAATTATGCAATTTTCCAGGAGATCTTAACAGAAAATTTGAACATGCACAGCACTGCCACAAAGTTTGTTCCCCCGAACTCTTGACAAAATTATCAAAAGCAGTGGCACATAAATGTGTCTTGAGCTATGAGAGAAGGCTAACACAGACACAACTTTTATCTCTAGGATCATAAGGGGTGAAATACTTTGGATTTATGGTTTTGATCCAGAAACAAAGCAATAATTGTCACAGTGGAAAAGCCCACAGTCACCAAGAACAAAAAAGGCATGGCAGGTCCACAGTTGAACAAAGAGCATGCTCATTGTTTTTTCCAACGTAAAGGGGATTGTTCGCTGTGAATTTGTTCCTCCTAACACTATGGTGGACTCTGTCTTTTACTGTGACATTCTGAAATTCTTGAAAGAAAATGTGCGACAAAGAAGACCAGAACTGTGGCAAAACTACAACTGGCTCCATCATGATAATACGTCCACCCACATGTCCCTGAAAAACAAAGAGTTTGTGATTAACAACATGGTTAACGTTTTCCATCCTCCCTACTCACCGGACCTAGCCCCTTGTGATTTTGCTTTGTTTCCAAAATTGAAAATGAAACAGAAGGGACAATGTTCTGAAATAGTGTGTGATATTCAAAGAGAATCAACCGCAAGCAGTACTCGACAGCATTAACTCTTTGACTGGCACGAAGGGTATTTAAATCCCACCCCTGTCCTGGCAGGCCCTTTAAACCTTATGTCGCTAAAGTGCATGTAGTTACTTTTTCCTAAACAACTTCAATAAAAATTGGTTTTCAAAAACGAAATTTTTGGGAACTAATTAAAATACAATATTTTATGCAATAAATGCTTTTCCACACCTCTTTATTTGTTTTTCTTCGTGTGATAAACATTGAAACATGAAAGTTTGCAGAGAGCCACACTACAGCCTGCACACATGATACTTGTTTCTTTTCTAACCTTGTGCTTAGCACTCACGCGACACTTTCTCAGGGCACCATTCTTCTTATTGTTACTGTTAGGAACATGGACCATTTTGTGAATTTTCAACCCACCCTCTAGACGATTTTGGCTCTTTCACTGGTGGTCTTTTCAAGGTCGAGGGCGGAGGCGTGACTGCACTCTAGTCTGACCCAATAGATTCATCATCCACTTCATTCCTTGACTTTTCTCCTTCTCCACACTGTTTGTTTAGTTCAGTCATTTTTCTACACAGTCCAATATAAAATCTTTGAATCTGTAATTTCTCTTCTTGTATTTTTCGTTTGTTGTGTTCTTTTTGAATAGAATGAAACTATTCAACCGCAAAGACATGTTTTGTCCAAACCATGGGTGTGAAATAGGGGCCTAGTGGACAAATATTCTTCAATTTCAGGGCGTTTGTCGATTCCTGTCATGAACACAATTCCTAAGTATGTCTAGATTTCATCTGATGTGACATAATTGTAATTGTGTTTTCGAGAGTGAGGAGCTAACTCATGTGTGTTGAAGTGCTGGTGAGCATAGCGATTGGTTTCAGTTGTGATGTGATTTACCAAGTCGTCATCCAGAAAAAATTTTAATCCATGAAAAGGGATGTATTTTATGTGTTATATCAATTTTGATCCCAAAACTATTAGCAAATGGAAATATTGGGGGTACAATGTCTCCGTACGTTCATGAGATGGGCGTGTCAGGCACCGCACTCGTGGTAGGTAAATGTTCATGATTACTGTCTTGTGGATCATTGTCTATCACTGTATTATTGTCACTATCAACTTCATCCAATTCAGGAATCATTATTTCATCGCCACTATCATCATCAGAAAAAATCTCGTTCACAACATTTTCCAGCTGGTCTGTAGGAACACGAAGACACTTGCTGCAAGAAGCTATGGTGAAACTGAATGAATGTGAAATATTTTCTGACCTTTACCTTCTCAGAGGGTTCTGACAGTAATATAGACCCCCACAAAGTTTACAAGGGTTCTTTACAAACATGCACAAAAACTATCATATATATGTCTTTGGTTGATGAGTGCCAAGAGAGCAAAGAAGGGACGAGATTGTCAAAGCGTTAAAACACGCCAACGCCAGGGAACGGCTGGCATCGTCCGGGCGTTAAAACACGCCCGCGCCAGTCAAAGAGTTAAGGCAAATGACTTCCACAGTGCTTTCGAAGCATGGAAAAATCGATGGGATCGCTGTATATGTTCCCAAAGAGACTGTCTTGAAGGATACGACAGCCAAAATTGAATAAGGAGCATTTCGTTTTTGACCAAGTCCGGGAACTTTCTGCTAGTACCTCGTAACTTGTGGCAGAGACACTGGAAGGAAATTGGAGTTAAGAGTGGACAATGCAAATGACAACTCGTCTTTTACCACTATTACCTTACCCACTGAACAACAAAATATAATCATCATGGTGTTCCCCGCAATAGTAGCTTTTAATGTCACAGGACAGTACACCTTGAATTAAACATTTGTCAGACAAACATTATCAATAACAGAAGTGTTCTGTTCAAGAAATAATGCAGACAAATATATTAAGTTTTTGAACATTATCCATTGTCTTGTCTTTATCTAAAAACCGTCCTGTTTATTTTTCAAAACACAACATTTCAGACACTGGATTCTGTCTCCATCTTCAGGTAAAACCTACTCAGTTGGAACTAGCTCTATCGATGGGGCCCAACTGAGTAGGTTTTACCTGAAGACAGAGACAGAATCCAGTTTCTGAAACGTTTTGTTTTGAAAAATAAATAGGATGGTATTTAAATAAAGACAAGACATTGGATAATATCCAAAAACATAATATTTGTACTAATGTATCAACATCACAAACTTTTAAATAATGCAACAATTTACCAAAAATGTAGTTTTATATTCCACTGACAGGAGGTATCAAGAGTCTGAGGTTACAGTAGATGTTCAAAGTGTTGTACTTACACTGAAACACAAGCTTCAGCCCAACATTGCATGGATTGTTGAACACATCAAAAATACCACGAGTGTCATGGACAGAGGTACAGTCATTTTGAACATGCTGCAACAGTTCCTCTGCTAAAGTGTACATCAAATTTTTAACATATCCCCAAAAGGAAAAAAATTCAAGAAAATTCATGTCTGGTGAATGATTTGGCCAGGATACTTGTTAATGCATTTAATGCATTGGGAAAGAGTTAAACAAGGGGTTCCGCAGGGGTCTGTTTTGGGACCACTTCTGTTTATTATTTACATTAATGATTTGCCTCCATATATTAATAAATTGGCTAAAGTTTTTCTTTTTGCTGATGATACCAGTGTTTTGGTTACTGGTAATAATCATGATGAGCTTAAGCATAAAGTCAGGGGTACACTGTCTCCTATTATAAATTGGTTCACAGCTAATAAGTTGGCCTTAAATATCACTAAAACTAATATTATTAGGTTTGCTCTAAAACAGTCCTATAACTCTCTGGCAGTTGCTAGTGGGAATTTGTTTATAAATGAAGTTTCTGTGATAAAATTTTTGGGTCTGCAGATTGATAAGAATTTAGACTGGAAGAGTCATGTAGAGTATATTCTCCCTAAACTTAGTTCAGCTATTTTTGTAATTAGGAGTTTATCTTATTTTATGAGTAAAAAAAATTTACGAATGGTGTATTTTTCTTATTTCCACTCTATTCTAAAGTATGGAATAATTTTTTGGGGCAACTCAACGAATAATGTTAGAGTTTTTAAATTACAAAAAAAAGTAATAAGGATTATATCTGGAGTGGGACCTAGAGACTCTTGTAGAGATCTTTTTAAGAAATTGAATATACTGCCATTGTCATGTGAATACATTCTCTCGTTGATGATGTTTGTGATTGATAATCAAACTAAATTTTGTTCAGGTTTAGATGTTCATGGTTTGAATACAAGAAATCGAAAGCAATTATATTTGCCAAACTCGAATCTGTCTGCTTTTCAGAAAGGTACTATGTTTACTGCCATTAAACTATTCAACAGATTGCCCATAACCATTCAAAGCCTTAAAGAGGATAGAATTAGTTTTAAAAATAGGCTGTTTTTATATCTTATGAATAATTCCTTTTATACAGTTTCTGAATATGTGGAGCATAACATAAACAATTAGTTTTAATTATTTTGTTATCTGTGTGTTCGTTTAAATTTGTTTTTATATCTTATGAATAATTCATTTTATACAGTTTCTGAATATGTGGAGCATAACATAAGCAATTAATTTTAATTATTTCGTTATCTGTGTGTTTGTTTAAATTTTTGTATGACGACCTTCATGTCCATTTGTTTGGACTTGTGAAATGAAATGTATGTATGTATGTATGTATTCATCACCTGGTGTAGGCAGTCTCAAAGTAATTTCTGGTGGCATAACAAAACTGGGTTGGGGCATCGACATGCACGAACGTCATTTGTAGGACAGTATCCAGTTAATCTGGCAAGTTGTGCTCCAAAAATGTTGGTAAGCAGCACCACTGAGTCTACTGAGGCAAAACGTATGGGCCTATGAAATGGTCCCTAGCAATATGATCCAAAACACTGTGAACTGCTTTCTGTCTGGAATGAATTGCACTCTGTGGGTTTATATTAACCCAAAGTTACTCTTATGGACATTCATCATGCCTTCTTTGTGAAATTTTCTTTGGCACTAAAGCAAGATGTGCTTATATCCATAACAAAGCAATAATGAATGTACCAGTTGCCTGAAGATGGCCTCCATGGCTGAAACATATAGCAGTTAATAGACAAACATACAATATACCATTATAAGTTGTGTTATGTACATAGAAGTTTCATAATTATTGATATTTGTGGTGATGTAAAAATTTTTTGCCATATAACCTCAATAAGACTGTTTACTATGGCAGTAGATTATCATTTCTAAAAGCGTGTGTACTGCAAACCATATGAACTTAATGCTGCCAAAAAATTGTTTCTTCTCCAAGAAAGTAATATGCTGGCTTTCATCGGGTTCTCTTCATAATTCTGGTATTTGGCATGCAGGTTCTATTATAGGCCTTGGTGTCATTTTAGCTTATTTTCCTGTTTTTTGAAAAAAAGTAAAAGGAAGCTAATGAGATCATCTTGCTGTCTGTATCCACCCCATCAACATTTGAATGCTTCAACCAATCTCTATGTAACTTGGCATGTATATCATGGCACTTGAGCCCACCTCAACAGCATACTTCATAAATCCTCCCATCAGTCTGTGTTTATATTTGTATCACCCTACTGTTGCTAGCCGACAGCTTGGCAAACGCCTTTCTGCAGCCACGAATAAATGCAACAGTAGAATTGCTGGAAACATAGTTTTCTATGTAGAACATGTGGTATCAAAGGAAAGTATATTATTAATTCTTCCCAGAACTTCTTGTTTCTTATTACAGCTGGTAAGACTACTGTGGACCACCACTAATAGTTTTGTTTTTCTTTAGGCTGTTTCTGATGCTTTACAGCAGCCTAGTTAGCTGTAAACTAGAATATGCTTCTGTTGTTTGGAATTCTCTTACCACCACTGACTCCTAGTAGACTTGAACATGTCCACTGAAAGTCTGCTACTTTATGTTACAATACATTTCTTTTTAAACGTCATAATGCCTCAAACTATGTTTTGGGTAACTATTTGACAGACATTATTTATAATGAACACTATTCTGGCTACCTTACTTGGCCTTCACTTTTAGAAAATGTTGGTATTAGAGTTCCAAACAGAAACATTAAAGATTTTAATAAAAATTAAATACCATACACCATTCACTTATGCACATAAAACAATCATTCTCCTTGTGGTCATAGAAAAGTAAGCCCCAGCTTATGAAACCATCAGGTTTACATCTTTCTTAACAACACATCTACTGTACACCTATAGAAGATTTCTTGTGTTGGTATGCTTTCAGAAACCTCACAAATGATTGCTGCACTGTCACACCCCATGCACAGTTTCTTTGGCCTGCTAACAGTCATTATCTAGCTGAAATTCAAAGTCTGACATCTACACAGTTTGTGTACATTTCACTCAAAGAACAGTCATGTTAATACTTTTGCTGCATATTATTTTCTCACAATTTTTGTAATATAATGTAATTTTATGGTACAAATATGGAAAGAAAGCAACAAAAATGTATTTTCATAGCCTAATGAATGAAGTCAAATGACACAGCTAAAGGAGATGACTATTTCTTGATCTGGACCAAGGTTGAATATCACCCTATATAGTAATGAATGGTCATCTGACTTCAGTCAAATATCAAAGCAACAGGATTAATAACTGTATTCACAGCAGTCAATTTCCTAGAGATAAATTCTGATATTACCTTAATCCAGAGGTATCTAAACTGCCATTGATTATCTTCTGAATGCTATGCTTCCATTTAGGCCTTATTTCTTCACAAAATCTAAAGGATTTAGTAATTACAGTTTAAAATTAAAAGCCCTAACTGTATTCATGAATTCACAAGAAAGATGTTTCTCACACTGGCTTATTTAATATCAAGGCTCTAAATGAAGAACTGTATGAATCATCAAGTATAACATTTAAAATGATATCTATCATGATGGTGCCAGTCTTGGAGACAATAACATGTGGAAGGGATGGTAGAGTTAGAATGGAAGAGTGTACCAAGCTCCCTGCAGTAGTATTGACACCAGCCACATAACACATATTTGCCCTACACATATAAATAAGTAATGCATAACATATCATTCATACTATAGGCTAAAACTGGTAAAATGTAACATCTTGTTTCTGTACGCTCACTAACAATTCCACTATCTATACTTGGTGTCTGAGACAGTTTTCTTGATCTGAAGGGCAATTAAACCAGAAGAAAAATTGCATATACAGTAATAAATATAATACTGCGATATTACAGTAGCAGAAGTAACTACACACAGAAACTTGAATGAACAGAATTAAACCAGCAACTAAGAAACCATTCACTATCCACTTTGGCAGTCATGAAATAAGTTACATTTCATGAAATGACCTAAAAAATCCCCAAGGACTTATCTACAACTAATGTTTCGCAGTTGGAGGCAACTGTAATCTTGTGGCATTGCTGAACAGAGCTGATGTAAGTTATCAGTCTTCTGAGTTCTTATTTTGAAGCATATATTTTGTTCATCCTTGACACACAAGTCACCAGAAATAGTGTCCACAGAACACAGCAGTTTACTGCACCACTACCAAGTCAGCCAATCACAAGCACAGTCTCTTCACTCAATATCAAAATTCTGTAACTGTCTACATAAAATAATTTAACTCTGGAAGGGAGTTCCTATGTTAGATTATACCATATATATTCAAATTTTAGATATGTTTTCCAATTTGTAACTCATAAGAATCTAATTTTTGTCTCCACACTGGGGGCAGCAGTAGAACTATATATTGTGTCCCTCTGTCCTAATGAAATAGACTACGCATGATTGTTTGCCACTTATTTGAATTTTTCTGAATACGTGCATTATTTTTACAGCAAATGATATTAACTTGTGATTGAAATGTTCTCCCCCCTTACTAATTGCAGCACAATGTGTTTTCATGCAGAGATGTGAACATATCAATTTCAAATTACATGACATTTTGGTAACTGGAATAACATCTACTTGCATCACCAGTTCAGCTTAATGTGACCTACAAGTGACATACTGATGTCATGTAGGAGGACTAGCTATAAGATTTCAAGATTGCAATAATTCATATGATAAGAGAAAATGTAATCCAGAGGATACAAATTAGCACATATTCATAACAATGAGTTAAAGCTTTCCAAAAATATAGTATGTTTCTATAACTGATAAATTCTAGACAAAGGAATGTTTTGCAACAAGATGTTAACGAACATCAGTGGAGACTCCTGAAGCATGGTTGGTTAACAGTACTTGCAGAATTCATAAATATAGGCTTCTCTGATGAAGAAATCCTGGAAACAAGATCAGATACCCAACTGTTAGGAATCATATTTGTAGTTTCATATTAATTAGCAGATGATCTTTAAATGCTGGGTCCAATAATTATATTTATATTATGGTGCAGTACTGTGCGTCACTGAAACTTAACTGAATTCCTCAATTTCTATAATTTTTTAGTTATGTACCATAATGATGTGTCTCATGTCAGAAGTCCTACTGAGGATGGATGAAAACCAAACCAACTTAAATTGAACTACATTCAAGTAAACTACTAAACTAAGCTATATATACCAGAGAATTCTTTAACAATAACCCTATGATATGTTTTCCTGAAATACTCAATTGCTTGTTTTGTTAACAGTTAACCGGAGGTTATTTTCTTAATAGCCATCATATGAACTAAAAGGACACTAAGCCTGTTGAAGACCTGGGAAGAGACAGAATGAGTATGTTAAGTTGAAGCGATCTTGATTGCCTATGCCAAAAAGTTGAGGTGGGGGGGAAGAGCTCTGAATGATGCCACCTTCAGTGATGCATGAGTCTATTCTTCTGTGCATGCTTGCTGCGACACAGCAGAGTTACTACAATATGTTTTCAAATATATTTCTCAGTATTTTATTCAAATTTTTCTAGTGTGTGATGTCATTTCTGTACATGTTGTTTTACAAATCGCAAATGATAAAAAGTGAGGTAGATCCCAAGATCTTTGAGACCACACATGTGAAAAATAACTGGATCACAAAAGAATTCTTACATTTTCATTGTTCAGTATGAAGTATGATCTGTTGCTTCATCCAGATATAAGAAGTAGTCTTGTGTTTCACTTTCAAGAAGAGAAATGAATCCCTGATAAACTGTTTGTAACAATCTACTTTGCTGAGTAAGTTTTCTGCAGTTACAAGACTCAACACTGAAGGTCAACCAGACTGTTTCTTATTGATTAGACTTTTTGTGACAAAGAAACATTTTATTAAAGAAAATTCTGTCAATATATCTGGCACAGAAACATCAAGACATTAACGTTCACAAAGTCATTTTCATACACCAAGTGAGAATGCAATATTAGGCAATTTTTCATGCTAACAGCATGCTGCACTTCTAAGAGACATCATCCTCTTGTTGTGTCCTACAAATGGCAAGGATAATTCAGAGAAGTCACCGTGCCAAACCACTGCTACTCTTTCTGATTATGTGGACTGATTTTACAGCACTTACAGCTGCTTCTCTCATTACTTACATACTCTGTGATCACCATAAGCATCAACAGTAAACAGAAGCTCACAAACTGCCTACAAGAACATGTACCTGCCTTACTGCAGTCCTGGATGATGCCTCATCAAGTATAACGTGCCACAGCTCATCTCATTGCGCATTTTTTAACAGTTGCAGTAGGAAATCTAACACATTGCTGTGACATGTCAACACACTGCCAGGTAGCTGCTCAGTAAACTCCCTGTGATACATGCACACAACAATAGGACAAATGATATAGCTTGTTGCTAAACCCACTGGGTAGCAATCACATGACTTGTGTTTTCAATTTGGCCCATGCCATGCCCAGTGCTAGGCAACAGAACTGTAAACATGTCTGCAATAATAGGTGTTTTCCACCCATGGTCCGTTCCAAAGGTTTATAGGGGACAACAAATGTCATGTGCAAGTAGTTATAGCTGAGAGCCTGCCATCATGGAAAAGCGTTAAGAGCACAGAGCGGTGCATTGCAGGGCAGTTAAGAGTTAGTTGCAAGAGTGTGGCTGTGAAGAGAAAACTTTGTGTGTAGTTTAGCGAGACTATTATAGTTCCCGTGTTTTAATTGCTAGTGTTTAACAGTGAATTACAAAGTGTAGAAATAGCGATAGCGCTATAATTACTTGTGATTACTGGTAGTGTGTATAATTGGTAAATAAACCTGTTCATCCAATCCAGAACCTATGTTATCAGTCACTAATAGACATGACATTACTATTATAATTTCTGTAACAATTATTTGCACTAAAATCTTTTCAGGACATTGTCATAGTTGAAGTCAAAGCGATTTTTGCATTTTCCTGCTTGCTCTATCACTGGTCCTCACAATGGAGACAGAACAAGTCCTGTACATTTTGGATTAATCTAACAAAATTAGAAAGGAACACAAACAGCAACAGGCGTTATATAGAACAACAGAATTATTATATTTTGTACAACAAGCAGGTCAGTGCACATTGGATGGTTCATGACAAAGTGGGACTTCATGGTTTCAGCCAAATACATTTAAACACACAGTGGTCTCTGACATTAAGGCAGGAACACAGACTGAGGGTGTTTGAGAACAGAGTGTTGAGAATATTTGGACCGAAGAGAGATGAAGTGACAGGAGGTTGGAGAAAACTGCATAATGAGGAGCTTCATAACTTGTACTCTTCTCCAAGTATAATTAGAATGATCAAGTCAAGGACGATGAGGTGGGCAGGTCATGTAGCACGAATGGGGGAGACGAAGAATGAGTACAGGATATTGGTGGGAAAGCCAGAAGGAAAGAGACCACAGGAAAGACCAAGGCATAGGTGGGTGGACAATATTAGAATGGATCTTAGAGAGATAGGATGGGATGTTATGGATTGGATTGATCTGGCTCAGGATATGGACAAGTGGAGGGCTCTTGTGAACATGGTAATGAACCTTCAGGTTCCATAAAATGCTGGGAAATTCTTGAGTAGCTGCAGAATTGGCGGCTCCTCCAGAAGGGCTCAGCTCCATGAGTGAGTAAGTTAGTTAGTTAGTTAGTTATCTTTTCGTGATTTAATGTTACATTTAAAGTCCTGACTGTGAGCTGAAACTGTCAGCAAATGGCAGTCAGGAGGCAGAGAGAACACATGATTACAGCACAGCCATCAAACAGACAATCACATGCGACAACACTTACTGGTGACACAAAGATGTAAAGGCCAGCAAACAAGTGAGGAGGCAAGATGCTATAAAATGGAGCAGATGGTCCCATGACAGCCGTGGGAACTGAATGCATTTGCTGACATTGTGGCAGTTGGGAAGAGAGGCACACGGTTGTTACTGCCGCGCCCTTTCGCACTGACTGGAGATATCAAGAGAAGAACAAATCCAACACTGGGCTTTATAGAAATACGTACTTTGCTGATGTGCGTGCATACAGTTTAGCCAGCCCTTTAATTCCTGAATTTCATCTAAATAATGTTTGGAAACTAAGTACCTGTCCCACACAAAATGTGCTGCATCTTCATTACAAAAAAGTAACAGTTAATGCTGTTTGAGAAAAAATGAGTTCACTGAAAGTACCATACTAAACACAAATATACACTATATATATGGACAAATACCGTCTTAAGTGCAACAATTTTATTGTAGTTTTTACTTCTTTTTCCTCCTCCACACTACATGTTTCGGCCCTAAATGGCCATCATCAGGTGTGTATCACTCACGTAACTGTTACACTGCTTGTTAAAAATGTAAAAATCCCAGTCTTTCTAATTGTATAAAATCTTTGTTAATCTACACGCGTCGATTTGATTTTTAAATTAGCACTTTTTAAACCTTAATTCAAGTTAAAATGTCTATAAGATCTTTGTTCTCTTTCTTTTTCAAATTAAAATTTTTCAGGGTACATGCCCTATATCTACGGTGCTGCAGCGGCCACTTCTTGTTTTTATCGCTGTTCATGTGTTGT